TTATAGAATATCTCGACAAGATTAACCATACAATCTTATTCGACAGGTATTTACTTTCAATGTCATGAATTATACAATAAGCTAAACCTTATTGATGTCTGATATACTGTTTGAATGGCATTTAGTAATTGAACACATTAAAAATAAACACAACAGTTCTATGGATAACAATTACTGTATTTCTATTTAAGCTACGTTTCAACAATGATTTTCTTGTCATTATCAAGCTTGATAACGACAAGAGAATCATTGTTGAAACGTAGCTTAAATAGAAATACAGAAATTGTTATCCATAGAACTGTTGTGTTTATTTTTAAGCTAAACCATGACAATATAATTCGTCCGCTGATGACCCCAAATAAATATATCTCGACTGCCACATTTTGAAATATATGGCATGTGTGTGTTTATATATTTCAGGTTTTTATCTGTAGAAATGAAAATGTTGTTCCGATCTTATCATTTAGATTTATTGACGCAACATTCTGGTCCAGCTTGTTTTAAAACGGAGCTAACCGTAAGTAAACACATGAAGACAGATTATATTTTATACGTCAACTTGTTTACATGTAGCGGAGGGTGGATGGTCGAAAGGTTAGTACGTGCACGCTGTATCATAAAGCCTGTCATTGAGTCAACTGGCAGGGTTTTGATTCCCTGGTTGTACGTTACAAAGAGTAGAGTTGCCTGTCCAACCTCAGGGGTTTTCTCCGGGTCCTCAGGTTTCCTCCCACTGCTACCCGTAAAGCGAATTATTGAAATAAAATTGAACCATGTGTTAGTCCCGAAATGACCTAGTTTGTGTCGAGTGGGTGTTAAACCCCATTTCTCTCTCTTTCCTGTTTACTTGTAGCTAGGCCATATAAAAAAAGAAGTTCTGGCTTTCAGACCTGTTTATGAAATGAAATGGGATTTAATATCCAAATGTTCTGCTTCAACTGGCTAATGAAGACGGGCATACGCCATACAGTGTGCTAGGAGGGGAATTTTGCCTGCCCTGGCAGCGGCACTACGGCCTACTCTTATATCGAATTACAACTGCCAAGGGATCTTTTACATGCATGCCAATGTATACACCGGACCTCAGTTTTTCATTCTCTCTCTCTCTCTCTCTCTCTCTCTCTCCATGAAAGCTAAATGATACATTAGATTTTCCCTGATGCCTTTTGAACCCTCAACTCTTTATCCTAAATCTTACTTGATATATCTATAAACTATTATAGCAAGAACTGTCAGCTCTTTATCTAAATTGTACATAATACATCTATAAACTATTATAGCAAGAACTGTCAGCTCTTTATCTAAATTGTACATAATACATCTATAAACTATTATAGTAAGAACGGCCAGCTGTTTATAATATATATAACTTGATATATTGAACTGTTTTAGATTAAAAATACATTATGTAAGATTTAGATAAAGAGCTGGCCATTCGTGCTATAATAGTTCGAAAATAGATAATGTAAAATGAATAATTTGAAAATTTCATTCAAATTACTCTATTGCGAGCAAAGATATTTGTCTTTGGAGGTTTGACAAGACGTGTGCAATAATTTCAACCACTGTACTGGTTGTTCAAAGCCAAGTCTCGCTCGTCCATTTTTTTAGCTTAAATCAAAATATGGCTGAACTGTTCTAATCTATTTAATATCGGAGAAATCCGATGACATCGAGAGTTGATTATGGTCTGGATAAGTTAATAAATGTCTAATTAATAATTTATATAACATATCAGGCCTAAAGAAAGACCTGTAATAGGCAGATTTAGCTCTTGCATAATGTATGTTTAAATTTGATAATATATATTTAACTGTTTTAGATTAAGTTTGATAACGGACAGAGAGATGGCCAGATGGTTGTAGATTTAACAACAACTATAACAGAATCAGAATGTTCTGGTAGGATTATATCAGAAGATATCGAAGGTAGCCATCTTTATAATATATACAGGGGTTTCAGGAGGAGGGGTTGGGGGTGGGAGGGGGTCTTAGAGAATAAGAATGTACTGGTAGGATTATATCAGAAGATATCAAAGGGTCAATCTGATTAAAGCACAGATCCTATTTCGTTTCGTTTTTATACACTAGGACCTGGAAGAGTTGTTATATAACCCGCGTTCTGGTTGATGTGAGGGATTAGCCAATGAATAGGATCTGGAAGAGTTGTTATATAACCCACGTTCTGGATGATGTGAGGGATTAGCTAATGAAACGGTCTGTTATGGCGAGTTTTTGTTGTGAGGTACACGGAACTGTGGGTAACCCACTAGACACATCAACGTTGATTGGTTAATCAAATGTCTGATGTCATAGGGTCAAAAGCCATTCGTATTACCTCTGACGTGACCTTCCACTACAGTCGGTCAGATCTTCATGTAGTTCAGGCCATCAAATGAATAAAAAAACGAAACAAAATATAGATCTGTATTTTAATCAGAATGTTGAAGAGTAAAATGATAATTGTGTCTGGTGCTGCAGCCTTCCCTTATCTCAAATTCCGGGGAGATCACGGTGGCTAAGTGGGTAAAATGCTCCCTCGCTAGCCAGTAGGTCAGGTGTTCGATCCCTGCATTGGCCCAGAAAGTTCATCCAGATTTTCTGGCGTGGTCCCCCCTTGTCAGTGAGGCAGGACGGAGGGCCTGACAAGGACAGCTTTCTAGTCGTTTGGATGGGACGAATAACCGAGGTCTCGCGTACACATTGGCATGCACGTAAAAGATCCCTTGACAGTTGGAATTCGATATAAGAGTAGGCCGTAGTGCAGCTGTCCGGGCAAAATTTCCCTCATAGCACACTGTATGGCGTATGCCCGTCTTCATTACCCCAGTTCGGAGCAGAACAGTAGGACGTTAAACACCATTTCATTTCATTTCTACTTATTTCGAATTCCATTTGACAAGGGTTCAATGAGAACCATCGATTACTAAACGCCATTGAAGCAAATTTGTTTTCATACGTTTGATATGCCTGTTTATTTTACAGAGGAAGAAGCATCATTACGGCGTAAAATGACGGCGTATGATTCGTTTGTTATGGTTATCCTTATTTTATCAGCATTTCTCTGTCTTAGATCCGTTTACAGAGCTCAGAAAATGAGAAAGGTAAATTTACCTACATCTATTAATATCATGGCGGGGGGGTGGATGGCCGAATGGTTAGCACATGCGTACTGTATCATAAGATAAAGAGAGAAACTGGGTTTAACATCCATTCAACACAAACTAGGTCATTTTGGGACTAACACATGGTTCAAATTTTATTTCAATAATTCACTAGCGAATTGTTGAAATAGAATTGAAGCATGTGTTAGTCCCGAAATGACCTAGCTGTGTTGAGTGGACGTTAAACCCCATTTCTCTCTCTCTAGAAACATCTTGTTATATTTTTTTTTTCAGGCTACCAATGAGTTTTTTCTGCAGCGATTTGGTAAGAAATTATCGTGTTCAGATCAGCTTGAGTTCCTCAATCTGTGGTATGTTCTAATTATATTGAACGATATACTCACGCTAGTTGGTTCCTCTTTCAAGATCATGCTTGAGAATAAGGTAATATATCTCACCTTGGTTTAACTTGTCGATAGAACTGCAAAAAGGTTTTATTCCTCGATAATATCCATCGTATTCAAAATTAAATACACGAATTAGAATTCAATATTGATTAATTTCAATCATGTTGTTATCTTGCCGTGAAACTAGAGAATCCTAATATCCAATATTTAAGACACAATTAACATTTTAAAATCACTACACAAGTCTTGTAGGCTAGGGTTTTGGGTGCCATTTGTAATGAACAAAGAAAATGGGGAAGTAATTAGTAATTGCTCATTGATAAACAACAAAATAGTAATCTAAAAACGTGTATAGAATGAACTAAGCAGGCATAATTTTAATTTTTTTTTTCGCTCAGATTTTCATTTAGATTTTATAACTATATTTTTTTCTCGCCAAAAAATTAAAAAAATATCTTCCAGTAATTTCTTATACAAGAAAATATGTATATATATAATATACAGAATTCCTTAATAATGTAGGAGCTAAATATGTCTATTGCTGGTCGTTATTCTGGCTTCAAACGTTATATAGATTATTATTTAAACATGTATTCATATGACACCTGTTACCACTGTTTGTCGTGTATTTTGTACACGGTGAACAGTCCATATGCTGATTACACTATTTTGCCTTATTACACTATTTTGCCTATACCGTTTTTTTAGGACTTCGAATTTTGTCTAATGGTTTGGATTGTTCGTACTTGGTTTTATTTTATTTTAAGACTATAATCAACTCTCTAGAGCATCGTATGGCTGAGATTTAAATGGATTTAAACACAATCACTTTTTAATAATTTAATTTTTAAATGGATAATCAAGACTCAAGTCTCGATTGTCAAGTACCATTGTTACGACTATAAACTTTCAAACACTGATAACCTCACTTGCTATGAAATAATTTAAATGAAATTTTCAATATATTTATTTTTTATTATCTGTTTTTGAACTATTATAGCAAGAACGGCTAGCTCTTTATCTAAATCCTTAAAAGACCTAAATCTACCCTTTTAAAGAGCACTGAAACATTGATGTTTCCTACTGCTTCCTTGCGTAAAGTGGCTATATAACTCCCCCGCGTAAAAGTGGCTTGGGAACTTCCTATTCCGACTTTTACCAAATGTTCCCCAACTTCTTCTCTTTTTTGTCTTTATAAAACAATATACACCTGCTAGCGCTTCGAACATAACATTCACCTGCTTGTACTGAAATTATGGCATACATGATCATGACATAGCACTTAGAGCATGACATACACTTCCTCCTAGCGCTTACAGCATGACTTACAATTCCTAGCGCTTACAGCATGACTTACAATTCCTATTATCATAGTCATACATGTATTTCAACTTCTAAACTTCATTCAGAATCGTGTCAATAGAAAAACAAAAATTGTAAAATTGACTCAATAGTATTATACATGAGATACAAGTTTATGTTTTCCATGAAAAGTGTATTTTTACAGAAGGATCTTGGGATACAACCTATTGCAGTCCCTTCGACAATGCGTCGTATTCGTACTTCTTTTGATTTACAAACGGTAAGTATTTAGTCTTTCAGGTAGCCACTAACGAGCTGGTCCTGGGATCGGTGCTATGGTCTGGTACATTGTATCTCCTTGATCTTACAGTTGCATTATGTAAGACCTAAATCGTCCTATTACAGGTCTTTCTTTGGGCCTGAAATGTTATATAAACTATTAATTAGACATTAATTAACATGAAAAGAGACCATAATCAACTCTCGATGCCATCTTATCTGTCCAATTTTCATTGGATTTGAATCCAATCTGCTGCTCAACGCACATTGATGATTAACCACAAATATGGATAATCGAGACTTTGTTAATTATCGTGACAGCGGTAACAATAACAATCAAGGCTACATTGATTAAAATAAGATTTTCTCGACTTAGAGTGAAGCAAATTGACTGAAATTTTCAGCATATTCCCATGACATTATCTAGTTTTGAACTATTATAGCGCGAATTGTCAGCTCTTTATCTAATCTTCCATAACGTATCTTTAAGTCTCGATTGTCAAGTAGATAATAATCAACTTATCATACATCTTGTCGAAACAGTGATAATTTTGCTCACAATACAGTAATTTGAATGAAATTTTCGATATATTCATTTTACAGTATCTATTTTTGAACTAATAAAGCAAGAACGGTCAGCTCTTTATCTAATTGGGGGGTTGGATGGCCGAATGGTTAGCATGTGCGCGCTGTATCATAAGGCCTGTCATTGAGTCAACTGGCATGGTTTCGATTCCCCAGTTGTACGTGACAAGGAGTAGGGTCGCCTGTTCAACCTCGTGGGTTTTCTCCGGGTCCTCCGGTTTGCTCCCACTGCTAACGACCCCTACGGGCAAGCGTATTATTGAATTAAAGTAGGACCATGTTAGTCCCGAAATGACCTAGTTTGTGTCGAGTGGACGTTAACACCCCATTTCTCTCTCTCTCTTTATCTAATTGTTACATAATGCATTTTCCAGCGTAGCTTCCCCTTGTCAGTGGTGCAGGATGGAGGGCCTGACAAGAACAGCTGTCTAGTCGTTTGGATGAGACGAAAAACCGAGGTCCCATGTATACATTGGCATGCACGTAAAAGATCCCTTAGCGGTTGGAATTCGATATAAGAGTAGGCTATAATGCCGCTGCCTGGGCAAAATTTCCCTCATAGCCCAATGTATGGCGTATGCCCATCTTCATTAGCCCTGCTTCCAGCTCTGCATATAAGGCAAACATCAAAGTGAACCTCCATCCCATCTTTACAAGATTTTGCTTGACACATTTTTTTTTCTAATTTGTTAACAATTGTTTTTATTTCAGAGGTTTTCAAGTATATCAGAGAATTATGATCTATGTAGTATATTATTAGGGGTAGGAAGTTTAATGGCATGGACAGGTGTACTCAGATATCTCGGTTTCTTCGCAAAATATAATGTAAGTATTTCAGATATTCCGACTATTTTTTAAAGATATAATTATGCAAATAATTCAGATATTTGTATTTCTTTTATAAATAAACTAGCAGGATACCCGGCTTCGCTCGGGGGTCATAACTCTGAAACCGGAAGTGGTAGACTAACGCCACCTGGCCTATGTTACTCCCCGGTCCGAGCTACCCCTATACCCCAAATTTCAGACTCGGGGCAGACCTAGTGTAGCCGCCAACCCCGAACAGACAGACAGACAGACAGACAAACGACAGTCACAAATATATATATAGATAGATTATAAGTAATTCTGATATTCAGGATTTGGGTGTTTTCAAAATATAATCTAACTAATTCAGATATTTTGATTCCTCGTTTGTATGTGAAAAGAAGTGGTGTTGCCTGTATAACCTCGTGGCTGTTCTCCAGGTCCTCTGATTTACTCCTACTACCATAGATCCCTACATACAAACAAATTATTAAAATAAAATAGTACCATTCTTGCACAATCTGGTTAAAACACAGATCCTATTTCGTTTCGTTTTTATAGTTCAAAATTTCGTTTTTTTTGTCTTATCTACACTAGGATCTGGAAGAGTTGTTATTTAACTTGTGTTCTGAATGGTGTCAGGGATAAGCCAATGAAACGGTCTGTTACGGCAAGCTTTAGACATGTTTTGCACGAAACTGTGGGTAATCCACTAGTAACATCAGTGCTGATTGGTTAATCAAATGTTTGACATCATAGGGCCAAAAGCTGCTCGTATGATCCCTGAGGTGACCTATCGTTACAACCAGTCAGATCTTCATGTAGTGTAGGCCATCGAAAGTATAAAAAATGAAACGAAATATAGATCTGTATTTGAATCAGATTGTGATAACATTATAAAATAAAATTGAACCATTCTTGTATTTTAGATACTGATTATAACATTAAAGAAAGCGTTCCCGAATGTTTTACGATTTATGGTGTGTGCGTTGATACTATATCTGGGTTTTATGTTCTGTGGTTGGGTTATACTCGGACCGTATCATATAAAGGTGAGATATATTCCTGAAGCAATAGCCCAAGAAATCCCTCTCTTTATGTTATTTTTTTTTTTAACTATTATAGCGAGAACTGTGAGCTCTTTATCGAATTCCCATAATTCCCCTTGAACTGTAATCATGGTGAAATCTAGCCATCAACTCCTACAGTGTAAAACCTATACCCATCTCTATTATTGTATTCTAGTAGTAAGTCCAGGAGGACTGCACTACACACAAAACAAGACCTATAACATGAAATAATTACCCTTCTAAAGCCTCTTGTATTGTATTTCTAAGACAATCTCTTTGATCAACTGTACTTTGTACCATATTTTTCAGTGTATTAGGCACATGCGTAGATAAGGCTCAGGGCGAGTTTGGTAGAGGTGGTAAATAAAATCTTGTTACTGGAATTAATTTTTAACTAATTAAAACACAGATCCTATTTCGTTTCGTTTTTTATAGTTCAAAATTTCGTTTTATTTGTATTTACTACACTAAGATCTGGAAGAGTTGTTATATAACCTGTGTTCTGGATGATGTGAGGGATTTGCCAATGAAACAGTCTGTTACGGCGATCTTTAGGTGTGTTTTGCACGGAACTGTGGGTAATCCATTAGAAACATCAACGCTGATTGGTTAATCAGATGTCTGACGTCATAGGGTCAAAAGCCACTCATATGACCTCTGACGCGACCTTCCACTACAACTGGTCAGATCTTCATGTAGTAAAGACCATCAAAAGAATAAAAAATCTAGATCTGTATTTTAATCCGATTGTCAAAATGTTTATTTTTCATTTAATGAAGAACATCAAACTAAGATTAAGTTTTATTCTTTTCAGTTTCGACACCTAAGTACATCATCAGAATGTTTATTTTCACTGGTTAATGGAGACGATATGTTTGTTACATTCTCGGCCACCCAGACGACCAATAAGATGATATGGTATTTTAGTCGCGTATATTTATACACGTTTATAAGTTTATTTATATATATAGTACTCAGTTTATTTATAGCCGTTATCATGGACACTTACGAAACACTCAAGGTATGTTGTTTTTACTTTGTTTTATTTTTTGTTTTTAGGATATGTTAAACATACATTATGAGGTCACATTAATAATGATGTCATTGTAATAATCATATTAAACATACATCATACAAGAGCTAAATCTACCTATTGCAGGTTTTTCTTTAGGCCTGAAATGTTATCTAAATTATTGATTAGATATTAATTAACTTATCCAGACCATAATCAACTCTCGATGTCATCGCTAGCCTGCGATGTTTATTGGATTATGTTCTGATTTGCTGTTCGACTTCCATAAATAATTAAATCATGAAATGGATAATTGAGACTATGTTTTTTATCCTACTTGCTTTAGTAATGATGACCAGGCTAGGCCTTAAATTCATTTGCTAAAGTCTTGGTTCAGAGTGGATCAATCTGACTGAAATTTTCAGCAAATTCCCTTTACAGTATCTAGTTTTTAACTATTATAGTGAGAACTGCCAACACTTTAATCTCCCATAATGTTTCTTTAAGGTCAATACTTTTTTCTGCAGAATTTGTTCTTATTTCCACATGCGATTAGAAACAGAGCGTGTATTGTCTAGTATTTATCGAATACATTAAAATAAAACCTTGTTCAAATGAAACAAGAACAAACCTTGAGGAATTACTTAAACTTAAAAAATAGATAATGAAAACAGAATATGCTGAAAATTTCAGTCAAATTGCTTCACTTTGAACCGAGATATTATACATTCAATTTTAGACTAGCCTTGAACATCATTACTAACTTTGGTACTATAATAAACCAAGTCTGTATTATCCATTTTTACGTTAAATCACCCCTCATGAAAGGTGTACAAATTCACTAAAGATCGCAAACTAGCGATGCCATCTAGAGTTGATTATGGTCTGGATAAGTTAATTAATGTCTAATTAATAATTTAGATAACATTCAGGCCTAAAGAAAGACCTGCAACAAGTAGATTTAGCTCTTGCATAGTGCATGGTTAACTAAAGAAATTGATTCCATGCTAAATCCCGTAATCAGTTTCAGATTTAGTTGATACAGGTTTGTGATTCTCAACCTTTTTTTGCCAACGGCACACCTTGGAACACATGAAGAAATAGTGGCACATGTCAGATGGCATACAACCGTAGACACAGACTAATCATAAATATATAGACTCAAATTAAATAAAGAAAAACACAGTTATGAATTCATCAGTAGACACCAGTGAATAGTCAATTGGGATCACATGGTTTTCACATTTTTTAGTGTGCCATTCAAAATTTTGCGGCACACCTAGGAAGATCTCGCATCACACCTGGTTGAGAATCACTGATATAGGCTATTCCATTTGTGATGCCCCTCCAAATGCATACCCTCTCGACTAGAGAGAGGAAGATGAAAGTATGTTTTAAACATAATTAAGCAAAGCCCAGGAGTGTCAAAAATATTATACACCCTGACCAAAAGGCCTGCTTGACCTTCGGGCTTCAATTTGCCAAGCCTATCAGTAACGGTGGCCATAAATTATAAGATTTTTAGATTTAGTATTTTTATTACAGCATTATGCAGCTAATGGGTTTCCTAAGAGTGAGTTATTTGAGTTTATAGATCAATGTAATGACTTGCCATCATCAGGACGATTTGATGAGAATAAAGGCTGTTGTTTATTTAATTGTTTACCATGTTGTAATGGGTTAGTATCATTATTTTAAATTCTTTCTATATAATAATCCACCTACATATATAACCTCAATTACTATGATACGAATACATCTATAGCCTGGTTGCTATGATACGAATACATCTGTAGCCCTGGTTGCTATGATATGACAGGACAGTTGACCACCCAACCTATAGCCCTGATTACTTTGATATGACAGTCAACCACTCAACCTATAGCCCTGGTTGCTATGATATGACAGTCGACCACGCAACGTATAGCCCTGGTTGCTATGATATGACAGTCAACCAATCATCCTATAGCCCTGGTTGCTATGATATGACCGTCGACCGTCTATAGCCATGGTTACTACGATAAGACAGTAGACCACTTCAGTTCATGATGGTGTGTTTAAAATGTATTTTTGTGATTTGAATTTTCAGACATGATCGTGACAGCCCAGATGAAAAAACCAGATTATTAAATCATGTTTCTTTGTAAGAGTTTGATGAGAATATACGAGTAACCGCGGGTAACCGTTAAAGACTTTATTTATGGTTCATGTAACCGCGGGTAACCGTTAAAGACTTTATTTATGGTTCATGTAACCGCAGGTAACCGTTGAAGACTTTATTTATGGTTCGTGTAACCGCGGGTAACCGTTGAAGACTTTATTTATGGTTCGTGTGTAACAGAAACGGTGGCAAAATACTTTTTTAATCAGAATGTTTATAATGATAATACTGAGTTCTTATAAAGTTAATGCTCAAGGTGAATTTAACTCTCCACTTACCACAAGATAAAATCACAGCTAATGTTAATAAAACAGCCGAGAGAGTGTGAATTCTTTATGGTCACAGGTAATTAATGCATTCCATAGAAAAATGCATTCGGTTTTAGTAGAAATGGCTACCTAATCAATTAGGAGTGTGGTGAAGTTAATATGGGGGTTAAAGTGACACTTGATTTAGTTATAATTCGTTACACCGAGTATTACACCAGAACAGAACCAAATCAAGTATAGCTCCTTGGTCAGAGTATTACACCAGAACGGAACCAAATCAAGTACAGTTCCTTGGTCAGAGTATTACACCAGAACAGAACCAAATCAAGTATAGCTACATGGTCAGAGTACTACACCAGAATGAAACCAAATCAAGTATAGCTCCTTGTTCGGAGTATTACTCCAGAACAGAAACGAAATCAAGTACAGGCCACGTGTCTAGATCAGTAGTGAAATTTTCAAAATGGCTGATCTGTTCTCGATAACTTTAGTACATAAAATATTTTATCGAAATTTATAAAAGAAAAATTACTAGGTTCATTTGGTTTTCTTTATAGAAAAAAAACCAATTTGGGTAGGTACCGAAAATATTGTCTTTAGTAACATTAATTGGAAACCTGTGAAATAATTGAAGAGTCCAGGGGAAGAACGATCTAAGTCACATTTTTGTCTTTTCTCATAAAAGGCAATACAGACTTTTGGATGAGAATGCTTGACGCGAACAGAACAACGAGTTGGTTTTTAATTACAACTTCAACATGATGATGTTTAATACGAATCATAATTACCAATACAACAACTGACTTCCACTTTTTAGCCAAATTAAGGTCAAATAAAGGGTACAATGGACTTATTTGTCCGGGAGGCCATTTCAGATAAGCCTTTACCTGAAATTGATTGTTCCACAGAAAGTTTATTCAATTTGCTACCAGATGGCGCCATTAACTGGGGTTCGTTGAAAAAGTGACTTAGATCGTTCTTCGCTGGGACACTTCAATTAGATTTTGAAAAATATTTTCTTCTATTTTGTTATCTCCCTTTGTTCTTTCAAGAAATCTTCAAACTGGGTATGAATGACGTTATTATGAAATATGAATAATGCGGATACCATTTGTAAAAAATGAAATGTTTTGCTCTGAACTGGGCTAATGAAGACGGGCATATACCATACAGTGTGCTATGAGGGAAATTTTGCCCGGACAGCGGCACTACGGCCTACTCTTATATCTAATTCCAACTGTCAATGGATCTTTTATGTGCACGCCAATGTGTACACGGGACCTCGTTTTTTGTCTCATCCGAATGACTAGACAGCTGTCCTTGTCAGGCCACCATTTGTAAGAGTATAAAACCAGGATTATTCACAATAATCTACTTTATTCCACACAGATAAAATGTTTTCGATGTCAACCATCTTTGAAAATAACCCCAGCTCCCTATCTGCACCACCTCAGCGATGAATCAAAAGTCGAAAGTTCAATTGAGTATACCGATGATTAAATCAAATTATCCGTTATATTAAATATGATCTCGGTGATTATTATATTGATTCTGTTCTATGTAACTGTTTTAATAATATGATGTATATATGTATATAATCTTGTCATGTACAACTGGGGAATCGAAACCCCGCCAGTTGACTCAATGACAGACCGTATGATACAGAGCATGTGCGTGCTAACCCCAACCCCCCTCCCCGTGTATGAAACCACCGTACTACGGTCAGAAGTTTCAAGAGTGGCCAAACAAATGTTATCTGAAAATACTAGCACAACCGTAAAGCTGCATTGTATCATAAGGTCCTGAAGCTTGTCAGAAATAATTTACGTTGTGACTGTTACATATGAGTAGGCCTATATATGATAATTGACCTATATTTTATTATTGTTATAATTAATTATTTTAGACTTCGATCATTCTGGTCATAGTATTTTGTTATTCTCTCCACGTGTTAATTTTATAATGAAAATAGTGTATGTTTAGTTCGTTCGTTCCTAAAGTTTTATATCCACTTCCACCATAGGTGATATCGTATGTTTAAACCAGGCTTTGGTATTTAACCAGGCATTCTTTAAGCTCACTGGAAAAGCTGATCCCGAATGTCAATGTTACCTGTCACAGGTAAATTTCAACGTTAGCGATTTCCACCGTTCTAGGTCAGTAGTCATAAGCCCCCCACCACCCACCCAAAAGACGTCTTTCTAGTCCTTCTGTACATATTCTAGTCTATATTTCTGTCATTCTCCACACAAGTCTCGCTATCCAGCATTCGAACTGCAAGGAAAGACAACTCTGTTTGAGAGGATGTATTTGACATAATTACTTTCATTATTTAAAAAAAATTCAATCTGATTAAAATAAAGATCTATATTTCGTTTTGTTTTTTTATACTTTTGATGGCCTACACTACATGAAGATCTGACCGGTTGTTGCGATAGCTCGCATCAGAGGTCATACGAGTGGCTTTTGACCATGTGACGTTAGACATTTGATTAACCAATCAGCATTGATGTTACTAGTGTATTACCCACAGTTCCGTGCAAAACACGCCTAAAGCTCGCCGTAACAGACCTCACACTATTCAGAACACGTCGATGATAACAACTCTTCCAGATCCTAGTGTAGTAAAGACAAGTAAAACGAAATTTTGAACTATAAAAACGAAACGAAATAGGATCTGTGTTTTAAATCAGATTTAAAAAATTTCGGAAGGTTTTTAAAGTGAGTTTTATGTGTTCAACAAACTGTTGATCTAGAAACTGGTCCTCAACCATTACTCATCTTGTTTGTGTGTCCGAATGTCCATCTAGGCCCAGGGCCCTGTGGTTCATGGCAAAAAGAGAAAAAATCAAATTCCAGATGAAAGTTTCACAGTAATTGATCTAGCGGCATGATGGCGGAGACAGAGCTATCGCTCAACCTTCTCTATGATGTTCCAGTCGGTGATTGGTCTAGGCTTATAGCGGTGCAATGGGCGGAGACGTCTGCAATCCCTCAACCTTCTCTGTGATTGGTCGAATCCCATTCACAAGGATATGAAATAATCTTTTCATCGCGTTAGGGGCCCCGCGATTCTTGTCAGGCCCAGGGCCCCCACTCCGGTTAAGCTGTGCTTTGAGAGGTCACAATTTTTGTCAGATTATGATGAAACTTTAAAAATATGATTATATCCCAGAGATCTCGGTTCCTTGTGATATTTTTCGCTTATCGGACTGTAGCTTCCTGGATTATGGTCTGTTGATCTACGAAAAATCGCCTTTTAAACTTCAGAAGCCTGTAAGAGGTCACAATTTTTACCTGTCAGTGTTACCCCATAATTACAGTTAAGTTCGAATTTCGTGAAAATTGGGCAGAGACTTTCTTATAAAATGGCCGCTCCACTTTATACAAGTAGTATAATGTATTACCAAGGTTTTGGACCCTCTAAAGGTCTCAATCTTTATCAGATTTTGATGAAACATAGAATATGTGTTTATATTCCAAAGATCTCGGATTTCCGATTATGGTACCTGGTTGTATCTCTGTCCATCTCTTAACAAAATGTGGGCGTATGTTGTATGGCAACCGCTTGTTAAAATACTCACTGATAATTATATAGTGTATCCATGACATCAAGAATGATGAATTGAATAATCTAGGTTCCTGATGCTTTAGTGCCAATCTGTACATATTGTTCTTGATGGAATGTCACTTATAATATATATTACAATTGATGTAATTTATTAAAGAACTCATCAATATATCACACTCTTGTATTTGTTTTAATTTTAAAGGTAAATTAGTTAAGAGAGAGAGAGAGAAATGGGGTTTAACGTCCACTCGACACAAACTAGGTCATTTCAGGACTAACATATGGTTTAATTTTATTTACATAATTCGCTTGCGCGTAGGGGTCTTTAGCAGTGGGAGGACCCGGAGAAAACCCACGAGGTTGGACAGGCGACCCTGCTCCTTGCCACGTACAACCGGGGATTCGAAACCCCATTTTTCTCTCTCTTTTTCGTTGTTCCTGGTTAGATCTTAACCTCTCCACCAAATTCTTAAACCTAACCCGCAAGTCTACGCAACATCTCGTGACCTTGGGGAAATCTGCGGGCGGCCTTGTAAAAATGATCTAACCGTTGTTCCTTGTGTCCAGCAACAGTCGGGAAGAAGCCCTTTCGCCTCGGGTCAAATTAGTACCCTGTATTTGAATTCAGGCTTTGCAAGTGACCAATATATCGTTGGGGGTACGTAACTCTTGAACCTCGGACAAACTGGCTTCCTTTGGCCTCCTATCCCATTGAAGGAATTTTGTAGAATGAGAAACCGAAACTGACTTGATTCACTTTTCGCACACTCTACTCAACCATACTGCATCACTGCATATTCATTTTTAGTGCAAATGACCTCATTTGACCCCGAATATCTAAAAAACGCCCTAACGGCGGACTGATTACCACTCGGCATCGTATTCTATGCAAAATTTTACTCTAGAAAAGTTGGGTCTGGTTTTATGCCCATTTGATGGACACCCCAACTCCCCGCACTGAGCCGAGCTAGCTTCCGCTTCTAAATAAAATAGGGTTTAACATCTATTTTCGGCTCCGATTGGGCTAACGGAGATGGGTATACGCCATGTATTGTGCTACATGGCCCACTCATATATCAAATTCCAAATACCAAGGGATCATTTATGTGCAAGCCAATGTTTACACGGGAACGTGTTGGGTTTTTTTTGTCCCATCCGAAAGAATATACGTTGTCCATTGCGAGATCCTCTGTCCTGCACAACAGACAAGAGAGAACCACACTGGCAATTCTTGATGAATTTTCTCGGTCAACACAGGGATTGAACACAAGATCCCCAGGATAGCAAGCCAACATCTTACTCACTAAGCCACTGTGGCTCCCACTTTTAAGCAAAACGAAATGAGATGAAATGAAATGGGGTTTAACGTCCTACTGTTCTGCTCCGAACTGGGCTAATGAAGACGGGCATACCGCATACAGTGTGCTAGGAGGGAAATTTTGCCCGGGCAGCGGCACTATCGCCTACTCTTATATCGAATTCCAACTGCGAAGGGATCTTTTACGAGCATTCCAATGTATACACGGGACCTCGAATTTCCGTCTCATCCGAAGGACTAGACAGCTGTCTTTGTCAGGCCCTCCGTCCTGCACCACTGACAAGTGGAAACGACATCGGAAATGCAGGGATCCAACACCCGACCTCCAGGCTAGCGAGCCAGCGTTTTAACCAATTAGCCACCATGACTCCCTTTAAGCAAAACAACAATGATACATATCTAATGAAATGTTTTAATGCCATAAAGTGTCAATCACTGAATTTTACAGATATATTTCATACTGAAAGCAATAAATCTTATCTAGAGCAATAGACTTAGACCAGTGGTTCTCTTTTTCTTGTTGGAAAACATGAAAAAATAGCGGCACACCTGGCTAAATATATATGAAAAATATTTGAATTTTGCAGAATAAAAACATGGTAAGTCATTGACGCCATACAACCGTAGACACAGACTAGGCCCAGTCATAGACACATAGCACGATTCAAACTAAATAAAGGAGACACCAGTGAATACGCAATCGGGATCACATTGTTTTTCGCATTTTCTAAGTTTACTATTCAAAATTTCGCGGCACACCTAGGAAGATCTCGCGGCACACAGGTTGAAAATCACTGATAAAGAGAAATGGAGAGAGAGAGAGAGAGAGAGAAATGGTGGTTTAACATCCACACGCTTTATAGAGAGAGAGAGACAAATGGGGTTTAACGTCCACTCGACACAAACTAGGTCATTTCGGGACTAACATATGGTTTAATTTTATTTACATAATTTGTTTGCGCGTAGGGGTCTTTAGCAGTGGGAGGAAACCGGAGGACCCGGAGAAAACCCACAAGGTTGGACAGGCGACCCTACTCCTTGCCACGCACAACCGGGGATTCGAAACCACGCCGGTCGACTCAATGACAGACTTTATGATACAGCGCGCTTTAACATCCACACGCTTTATACACAAATTACAACTTGTACAAAATACTGCAGTTACCCTGAGCCAATCTAGTAGAAATTGACATATCACACCACTGTTTAAAGATTTACATTGGTTTCCAGTGGAAAACAGTAATCAGTTCAAATTTCTGTACACAGCCTACATATGCCAAAAAGGTGAAGCACCAGGCTACTTGTCCTCAATGCTTGTTTTTTTTTATGTCCCCCAAAGAAATCTTGGGTCCCAATATGAACTACGTCTTGTGGAGCCCAACTAAAGAGAGAGAGAAATGGGGTTTAACCTCCACTCGACACAAAGCCGGTCATTTCGGGACTAACACATGGTTCAATTTTATTTCAATAATTTGCTTGCGCATAGGGGTCTTTAGTAGTGGGAGGAAACCGGATAACACCCCACGAGGTTGAACAGGCAACCCTACTCCTTGTCAGTACAACCTGGGAATCAAAACCACGCCATTTGACTCAATGACAGACCTTATGATACAGCGTGCATATGCTAACCATTCCGCCATCCAACCCCCCCACCCCGCCCAACCATAGACTAAAGACATTTGGTCATAGATGCTTCTCATACCCTGTACCAAACCTACGGAATTCATTACCCTTGACCTTAAAAAATTCACAATCTCTTAGCTGTTTTAAGAAGGAATTAAAGACTCGCCTTGTTTTCGACTGTTTATTAGTTGTTAACATTAGCTGTGTTTTTATCTTGTGATAAGTGAAGAGCTAAATACGCCTTGAGGATTAACTTTAATGGATCTGTGCACAATATAAGAACTCACTATTATCTCCCCGCCCCCGCTCAACTTGCCCCAGATTTCTTTAAAAAAAAATACCCGGATTAGAAACCATTACAAGTTAGTATCAACTATATCCAACATTGTTAGTTATTATTTTAAAGTGCAATAAACTTATTCCCAGTGAGATAAATAAATATTCCTAGTCCCTAAAATATAATGACATTTACAGAATTACATGAACATAAAATATATTTGTGAATGATTATTTAATGAAATAAATTAAAGCAGACTCGTATCCATGGATTCCAACTCACCCATAAATGCCAAACTGTTTGAATGACATTTAGTTAGTAATTAAACTGGAATACACAGTTCTATGGAATACAATTACTGCTTATTAGTAAGTGATTAAGCAGGGCTAAATCTATTTGTTAAGGCCAGTTCAATTTTTGTCAAGGTTGCTGAGATGTAAATAACGTCCAGGGTTAGGACACAAGATTGATGGTGAGATTGTAGGTTAGGGTTAGGATAAGCATTGGGGCTAGGTCCAGGGTTAGTGTTGGGATTAGCACTAGCGCTGTTTACATCTTGTGACCTATGACGAAAAATTGAGCTGGCCTTATCATTTAGCAGTAACTGACTTCTCTAGTCATTATCAAGTAATATATGCTAGTTGGGACAGTTAGTCTTAAAAATTGACTGGGATTCAACATTTTTTCATTTACATCGCATATACAATCCTCCTGATAAACCGGTCAATAACAGTTTTTGATTAACAATACTTTAATTCAAAACTGGTTTAAACAATTTGATATTTACACTAAGTAGAAGACATTTATTTATGGATTGGTCTTGTTTTCATGGTTTAAATATAATGATAACACCAAATGGGTTCTTTGACATCATATCTTGGTTTTATCAAGTCTTTAAACATACATTATACAAGAGCTAAATCTGTCGATTGCTGGTCTTTCTTTAGGCCTGAAATGTTATCTAAATTATTAATTAGCCATTTATTAACTTATCCAGACCATAATCAACTCTCTAGATCAATGGAGGCTCTGATTTTAAGTAGATTTGAATGCTTCACCCATTTAATGATTTAATTTGAAAATGGAGAAGCGAGGCTAAGTCTTGAATACTGCTGTTACAATAAGCAATGCACATATCTTGTCAAAACTACAAACAGTGATAACTTTGAATGAAATTTTCAATATATTCATTTTTTATTTTTAAACTATTATAGCAAGAATGGTCAGTTCTTTATCTAAATCTTACATAATGCACATCTAATTCTCAAAAAGCCACAGTAGATCCGTTTCTTTCTGAACATAAGATCACATGACTGAAACCTATTCATATGATTGGTCAATTTTTGTTCAAAATGGCGAGAAAAGACCTTGATCTAAATAATCATTACCAATATCTAAGCCAAGGATGAACAATAAATAGAAATAAATTTTATTTTATAGAATAGATTGGATAAACTGTATTTCAAACATTTTTTAAATTTAAATCTCAAGTGATAAGCAGTAGCCATGGATTCAAATATTTTATATGAGACAAAACCAATTAGAATATTTCGTTCTTCAAAAACATAAACATTTTACTTCGGGGGAAACTAATTCCAAAACAATTCCTTGGTTGAATCAAGTTCCAAATTTTGCACTCAGGTGGGTGGGGGAACTAATTCCCCCCCTCCCCCCCAAAAAAATTCCTGCACACTTTTAGTTTCAAATTTATTCCCCAATACACGAGTGAATGTTTATTAATCACAACTACGACGAACTAGACATAAAATTGGTTCTGCCTTATACTGTGATATTTTTAGTAACAGATCTGGAATTTTTTGTTACCATGGCAACATAAATAAATTACAACAATTTTAAAACGTTTCTTCCGCGTCTGGACATCTACTGGATTTAAATTGATTAAATTTGGTAATGATGTCTTCGATGCTGTGTTCACCGTGAACTTTGTTGTCTCTTGTACGAACGTTCGCTGTTCCATTGCTCAATTCTTTCTCTCCCACAACTACAAAATAAAATGAAATATGGTTTATATAATGTCCTACTTTTCTGCTTAGACTGGGCTTAAAAAAATGTACCTACTCCTTCATATGTAAATAACTTGATAAAACCATGTCCGTAATATGATGTATAATGTACTATGGGAGAGAGAAATGGGGTTTCAAGTCCACTCAACACAAACTAGGTCATTTCGGGACTAACATTTCAATAATTCGCTAGTGCGTAAGGGTCTTTAGCAGTGGGAGGAAACCGAAGGACCCGGAGAAAACCCCCGGGTTGGATAGGCAACCCTACTCCTTGTAACATACAACAGGGGACTTGAAAAATTTGTGCTAAACAACAACATGCCGTGCTCTGTCAATAAAATATTTCCCGAACAGCGGCACAATTTCTTACTCTTATTTCTAATTCTAATTGTTAGAGTTCTTTTACATGCATGTCAATGTGTACGGGGCTTCGGTTTTTCATCCGAATTGTCCTTTAACCGGCAACATTGACAAGGGGGTACCTCGCCAGAAAATCTCTATGAACTTTCCTCGACCATCATTGGGATCAATCACAGGATCTCCAGGTTAGTGAGTTAACATCTTACGCACTGAGCTACCACGGCTAACAAAATTCCGGGGAACATTTTCAGCCCATCAGCACCAGCGAGTGTTTTGTACGATTGGAACAACTGGTCTGTGCAGCGCCTTTATTGTAAGCCTGACAGGTACAAGTGTGGACCTCTGGGAACAAGACTTGAAATATTCTGAGATTCTCATTGGTCCACACCTGGATCCGAACCTCGAGACATTCTAGTTGCGAGTCCAGCAGCCTTCACCACAGCCCCCTGGTAAAATTCATCATAACTAGGGAAGTAACTCTCATATTGTTTCAACAAACAGGCCATCATATTGTTGTTGACATAAGCAATGAGGCTAAGAAGGTTTGTAAAATGTTTTTTGATTGGTTCCTAGAATCAAGCTACAATCAAGGACAGATAATTTCAATACGTGAACACCCCATGGATGAACCCATGGTATAATGGAGTAGAACGGAATAAGACCACCAGGAATACCAAGGATGCCTGCCACTATGTAGATCTCCAATTTTATTAGACTTACCAAAGATAAAGTTATACTGAGCAAGCTGAGCATTTCTAACTTTTTTATTCATTGTATCCCCATGATCTAAATCAGCTTCACTCAAAAATCCTGCTTCTTCAAGTTGTTTAGCTACCTGATAAATAAATATAACATTCCACAATTACATAACAATTACAATCCAATTTTAAGAGAGAGAGAAATGGGGTTTAACGTCTACTCGACACAAATTAGGTCATTTCGGGACTAACACATGGTTCAATTTTATTTCAATAATTCCCTTGCACGTAGGGGTCTTTAGCAGTGGGAGGAAACCGGAGGACCCGGAGAAACCCACGAGGTTGGACAGGCGCCCCTACTCCTTGTCACATACAACCGGGGATTCAAAACCCCGCCAGTTGACTCAATGACAGACCGTATGATACAGCGCAGCGCGCACATGCTAACCATTCGGCCATCCAACCCCCTGAAATGGGGTTTAACTCCACTCGAACACAAACTAGGTCATTTCGGGACAAACATATACTTTAATTTTATTTCATTAATTAGCTTGACAGTGGGAACCTATCATGAACGTTATATAAGCCGTGAGAAATTTGATATTTTCACAACTGTTCAATTTGTAATATTTCGTTACCTTGCTAGCATACTCATCAAAAGGTGCTGCGACTGGAATCACAATAGACTGTCTTGGAGAAATCCAAAATGGCCTGAAAAACAAGTACAATATATAAATATTTGTTTACTATGTGAATTTATTTTTTATTTAAACAATATGGATCTTTAACAGATTTTCAACTGGTAGTCATAATATAACACAAATAAACAGTATAAAACATATTATTACAATTTACATGATAATTTAGGATTTCTTAAATGTGAATTTCTCAAATAAGAAATGGTATCAGATGGTCTATGACTAACTTTGTGAACTTGTCAAATGAGGGGTGGTACCAGGTGGTATATAAGATTGTTAGCTATATGAACTCGTCTAATGTCAGGTGGTTTCAGATGTTCTATAATTATAAGCTTTGACAACTTGTCAAATAAGAAGTGGTATAAGATGGTCTATGAGACATAAGTATACCATTGATAACTCCTCGTTAAAGCTAAGCTGAAACTGAATTGAAATGTGGTTTAATGTCCTACTGTTCTGCTCCCATTGGGCTAATGAAGACGGTCAATCGCCCGGACAGTGGCGCTACAGCCTACTCTTGACAATTGATTCCAATTGCCAAGGAATCTTTTACGTGCACGCCAATATGTAAACAGGACCTGTGTTTTTTGTCCCATCCAAATGACTAAGCGCAGGCAGATGGTTGATATAATTAAAAATTTGTTAAATACCATTTTCCTCCGTAACTTTCACATAAAATAGCAATCATTCTTTCTACAGATCCTAATATAGCTCTATGTACAATAACTGGTCTCTCTTTATCACCTTGTTCACTGAAATATAAACAAATATATAAACAAATACACAAAATGTAAACAAATACACAATATATAAACAAATACACAATACAAATACCCAAATATAAACAAATACACAATACAAAAATATAAACAAATACACAATACAAAAATACAAACTAATACCCAAGTAATGTATACTAATATTTGTGTCTGTCGTTTGTATGTTTGTATGTCTGTTCAGGTTTGGTGGCTATACTAGGGCTATCCCGCGGCTGGAATATGTTGAAAATGGTTAGCACAAACCGGGAAGTAACATAGGCTAGGTGGCGTTGGCATATTGCAATTAATGCATACATCTTGTCAAAACTACAAACAAAGATAACTTGGTTCAGAACAAATCAAAGGATATTACTTACTTTATATAGCCTAAATTAAATCTGATTGGTAACTGGAAATCTAACTGTATCGTGGCACACTGATGTTGACGTCGTAAAGCATCTAATATCGTAATATCTATCTATAAATAAGGTAAATAGAAATAGGTATATATCATTTAAAGTTTTGTTCGATACAAATTGGGAATCAAAACCATGGCACTTGACTCAGTGACAGCCCTTATGTTCTAACTCGCATGCGTTAAACCCTTCGGCACAACCTAACATATGGTTCAATTATATTTCAATGATTCGCTTGCACATATTGGTCTTTAGCCATGGGAGAAAACAGAATGACACAGAGAAAACCCACGGGTTTGGATAGGCGACCCTACTCTTTGTAGGGTCAAAACCACACCAGTTGATTGAATGACAGACCACCGTCTTCATTAGCCCAGTTCGGAGCAAAACAGTAATACATTAAACCCCATTTCATTTCAATGACAGACCATATGATACAGCAGCACATGATAACCATTCAGCCATCCAACCCCGCTTTACTGACAGGGGAAAATGATTCTGGACAATCTGTAAGGACATTCATGGCTAACACCAAGAGCAAACTGTGTCAAATACGGTTGAAAAACAAAGTAAGTGGGGACCATGGAGTTGAACGAAAACTTTTAATTCTGTCATCTATTTTTATTAAATATGTTGAAGCTAATAGTTTAAACACAACAGAATTTACCTTTGGACCATAAAAAGCTCCATCCCCTGGATTTAATTCCCATTTTTCACCAAATTTATCTAAACTCTCTTCTAAAGCCTGTAAAATAGGAATATTATATTATTGACAATAGAATCAACAGGGATTTCTATTTAACAAAATTACTATATGAGAGAGAGAGAGAGAGAGAGAGGGTTTAACCTCAACTCGATACAAACTAGGTCATTTTGGGACTAACACATGGTTCAATTTTATTGCAATAATTCGCTTGCGAGTAGTGGTCTTTCGTAGTCAGAGAAGCATTATGTAGGAGCTAAATCGGCCTATTGCAAGCCTTTATTTTGGGCTCAAATGTTAAAATAAATTATTAATTAGACATTTATTTCACATGACAAGCTCATTGGAGGGCCAAGATATAAATGGATTAGAACAATATTTACAAATTTAAGAATAAAATAAATAATCAAGACTTCTGTCTTGATTTCAAATTCGCACAGAATAAAGTAATTTTACTGAAATTTTCAATATATTCATATTTCATTTTTTTTTAAACTAAATTTTACATAATTATTCTTTAACATTGTTCGTGTTGAAATATAAATATTGACTTTTATCGTCTGCTAGTTAACCTTCTCTGGGTGTGTTTCATGGATGAGACAGGTCTCGATCTAAACATACACTGTGGTACACGCTGCAGTCATTCTTTGTTTTATATTCATGTGTGTGACATGAAATCGTTTGTCTCCATCATACTTCATATTTTTACTCAATGTAAATAAAGTATACTTAAACATACATTATGCAAGAGCTAAATCTGTCTATTGCAGGTCTTTCTTTAGGCTTGAAATTTTATCTAAATTATTAATTAGACATTAATTAATCTATCCAGACCATAATCAACTCTAGATGGCATCGCTAGCCTGCATTCTTTAGTGGATTATGAGCCGATTTGCTGCATAACTTTCCTTCACGATTTAACGATTAAATGGATAATCGAGACTATTCTGTTTATCGTACTGATAGTAATGATGATCGAGACTAGGCAGAAATTTCAATCGCTTAGTTCGCGGTTCAAAGGAGATCAATTTGACTGAAATTTCAAGCAAATTGCCTTTACATTATCTAGTGTTTAACTATTATAGTGAGAACTGTCAGCTCTTTATCTAATCTCCCATAATGTCTCTTTAAGAAGATGGCTAGACTAATTTACTTTAAAAAGTTCGCAGGTGGGATAGCAATTTGATTTTACTTACCTTTTCTGCTTTATCCCACATCTCTATTTCACCGAGGTATTTTTCTGGTCTCGTGGAAAGTTTTAATTTAAAAGTAAATCCAAATATTTTGTATACACCATTGAGGAAATCTAGACATCCTGCTATTTCTTCTTTTATCTGTAGTTGATGATAAATATAGTTTATAAATAACAAGTGGTTGCCATGCACGATAAGCCCACATTTTGAAAGAGATGGACAGAGAACAGGCTACAAAAGCATACAATAAGGGGCCATAGTCTAGGATGTTATGGTATGATATATGCCAATATTGAAAGGGAGAGAGAGAGAGAAATGGGGTTTAACGTCCACTCGACACAAACTAGGTGATTTCGGGACTAACATATGGTTTTAATTTAATTTACAAAATTCGCTTGCGCGTAGGGGTCTTTAGCAGTGGGAGGAAACCGGAAATATTGAAAGGAACCAAGATCTTTGGGATTTAAATCTATATGTGACCCATGCTGGTAAAATGAGTCGGAATGCGTAAAGTCTAATAATGAGCAAACAGACAAAACAAGTGAAAATATTGATTTTGATTGAAATTGAGATTTTCAACCCAAAAGATGAAAATAGCAATAAAACATTTTCAAACACCTTTATTTGTCATTTCAGGACTAACATGGTTCACTTTTATAGGGGTCTTTAGCAGTGGATGGAAACCAGAGTACCCGGAAAAAACACACGAGATTGGACAGGCGACCCTACTCTTTGTCACGTACATGCAGGGAATTAAAACCCTGCCACTGGACTAAATGACCGGCGTTAAAGATCCTGATATAGTCTTAGGTTCTAGTCTGACTGAAATAAACTACTTTAGTCTCAGACATCCAGTGACTGAAATCTGCAACGATAGTCTTGGGCATCCAGTGACTGAAATATACTACTATAGTCTTAGGCATCCAGTGGCTGAAATGTACTACAATAGCTTTTTCAGGGGGGGGGGGGGTGATAGGGGATACTGACCTGAGCGAATCTACAGAAGATATGAGCATCATCTTGTTGAAATCTACGAACTCGAGTTAAACCAGTCAAAGCCCCGGATAATTCATTTCTATGAAGAACGCCGAAATCTGCCATTCTGATCGGTAAATCACGCCACGATCTGGTAGAATGATCAAACATCAAACTGTAATTGAACGAAAATACAAATCAAATGTAACGTCTTGGCTTACGAAAACAAGCAAATACCATGCAGACATGTTCCACAAGGTAAATTATTCTGAGACGTCTTAAATTCCATAACAAAACTGTGTCATAAATGTACAAGAGAAGAAAGATGGGGTTGAACATCTACTTGGCTTTATTGCATGTAACGGCTTGTTTTTATACCGGGGTAGTAGATCTAGTAATTGAGCTGTACGGTCATTGGACTCTTGCATAGAGTATCTCTGATTCAAAGTGAGGGGTGGGGTGGGGGGTGTATGTGACAAGGAGTATGGACACCTATCCAACCTGGTAGGTCCTCTGGTTTCCTTCCACTGCTTAAGACCCCTATGCATAATTTAATTATTGAAATCCAATTAAACCATGTGCTTATTAGCCGAGATGAGTCAGGTGTTGGTTTGTACATATAAAAGAGAAAGAAATTGGGTTTAACATCCACTCGACACAAATTAGGTTATTTCGGGACAAACATATAGTAAATATTATTTCAATAATTCGCTTTCACCTAGGGTCTTTAACAGTGAGAGGAAACTGGGGAACCCAGAGAAAACCCATAAACTAGGTCATTTCAGGACTAACATATGGTTCAATTTTATTTCAATAATTTACTTGCATGTAGGGTTCTTTACCTATGAGAAGAAACCAGAGGACCCAGAGAAAACTCACAAAGTTGGACAGGCGACCCTACATCTTGTCAGGTAGAAGTCTGTGATGGAAATGACATCTCTTGACTCTTATGACAGATCTTATGATCTTAAGTGCATGCATGAAACCTCTCAATCTTCTTCATATAAGAAATAAAATCTTACCAGTGCCCTGGACAATTCATTGGTTTCAAGGCAAACGTTTCTTTCTCTACTTCAAAAGAAAACATATTTTCCTAGAAAAACAAAGAAAAGAAGATACCATAATGTTGTTCATCCAATCTGATTAAAATACAGATCTATATTTACGTTCATTTTTTTATACTTTCGATGGCCTACACTACATGAAGATCTGACTAGTTGTAGTAGAAGGTCGCGTCAGAGGTCATATGAGCGGCTTTTCACCCTATGACGTCAGACATTTGATTAATCAATCATCGTTGATGTTTCTATTGAGTGACCCACAGTTCCATGCACCTCATGCCAAAAACTCGCCTTAACAGACCGTTTCATTGGCTAATCCCTCACATCACCCAGAACACGAGTTATATAACAACTCTTCCATATCCTAGTATAGTAAAGACAAGTAAACGAAATTTTGAAAGTATAAAAACGGAACGAAATAGGATCTGTGTTTTAACCAGATTGTTGCTCATCATGTTATAATGTAATAATTTATATGGTACATCACCCAGACATAATGGTACTGTTGTCATGGAGATATGACTGGCACAGGAAGTCAGAATTATGAGTTAAATATACCACATATTCTCGTAATCATCAATTGTTGTTTTATTTTATATCTGGGTCAAGAAATGAAATTCAACATCCACCTGACACTAACCAGGTCATTTCTAAATTTGGGAATAACGTAAATAATTTGTTGGGGGGTTTATAGAGGAAACCATCCTGGTTAGGCATGTGACCCTATTCCATGTGGCATATAAAACTGCTATAGAAAGTACAACCTTTTAGTCTTGTGAGCTGAACCGTATTAAATAAACAGTGAGAGAATGAAAAGGGGTTTAATGTCCAACTGACACAAACTAGGTCATTACAGGACTGACCTACGGTTCAATTTTATTTCAATTTTCTAGCACATAGGGGTCTTTAGCAGAGGACCCGGAGAAAACCCATAAGGTTCGACAGGCGACCCTACTCCTTGTCAAGTACAAGCAGGGAATCGAAACCATGTCATTAACCCACCCATTATTCTACCCTAACCCCTAGCCCTTCTGGTCTAACTTGCATGCCTTAAACTATTCGGTTACCCCCTTTTTAATTAACTAACCAACTTACTGAGTAATGTTGCCAGTGACCAGACTGTTCCCATAATTTACTGTTGTATATATTGGGTGAGACAACTTCCTTAAAACCTCGCTTCCAATATTCTTCCTGAAAATATACATTAAAACTACTAACATGTACAAATCGCTTTATAAATCAAATGAAATAGGATTCAACATCCTACTGTTCTGCTCCTAACCTGGGTTAATGAAGACGGGCATACGCCACACCGTGTGCTATTAGGGAAATTTTGCCCGGACAGCAGGACTATGGACTACTCTTACATCAAATTCCATCAGCCAGGGGATCTTTTACGTGTACACCAATGTATACATGAGACCTCGCTTTTTCATCTCATCCGCAGGACTAGATAGCTGACCTTGTCAGGCCCCCCGTCCTGCACCACCAACAAGGGGAAATCACGTCAGAAATCGGTTTATAATGATGGTTATTAACTTGTGAGCGCTTGAAAAAAAAGTTACCAATTTTTATTCCCCTAAATAACACACATCCCTAATTTGCGGGGACAGCACAGGGGGAAAAGTGGGTGTTATGTATGGCAGGGGGGGGTCATGGAGGAGTACTGGTATGTTAAAGTAATTACAGTAATAAAGTCTACAAGAATATGGGGGTGGGGTAGAGGAGTGTTATAAATTGGGGTAAGGGTAGGGGTGTATATTAAAGAACTTACCCTAATGAAGTCTACAAGGATATTATAAATGTGAGCTCCTTTAGGTAGAAAGAAACAACTACCAGGACTTAATTCATGGAAGAAAAATAAATCTTGTTCCTGTAAAGACAGAGAAATGGGGTTTAACGTTCACTCAACACAAACTAGGTCATTTCGGTACTAACATATGATTCAATTCTTTATTTCAATAATTCGCTAGCTTGTAGGGGTCTTTAGGCAACCCAACTCCTTGTCACGTACAACTAGGGATTCAAAACCACACCAGTTGACTCAATGACAGGCCTTATGATACAACACGCATGTGCTAACCATTCGGCCATCCAAACCTCACCAAACTTTAAAGGCGTCAAACCTCTGATAAAGATCAAAATGAAGTTTAGAATTGAGTTGATCTGAGGAATTATTTTATTTATTTCATTTTTGGAGTCGGCACCACTCTACCTTAAAGAACAAATTTTTATCAATGTCCCTTCATATCGTGTCACTCCACTCTGCGACCAAAGCCGACTAAGGCACATGGTGACCATGCTTCTAATGTCTATGCATGCAGACTCTCCGTTGACTTGACGGCCATAGAGATTTTTAATTCTTTTAAATCTGTACTTAAAAACACAGACAATTTTAGTTCCATGTTTTTTTGTTTTTTTTTACCTTTCCTATTTTTCTATGATCCCGTTTTGCTGCTTCTTCTTGGAAATGTTTCCATTCTTTCATTTGTTTAGCGTCAGGAAATGAAATTCCATAAATTCTCTGCAATGATTCAGCATCAGCCTTTCCCTCCCAATAAGTGGAGGAATTCTACAAAATAATGGTACAAAAATATAAAAACTTTTATTACTTCTTTTGAACTTTTAAAAATCTTCAAAGAAATGGGGTTTAACATCCACACGACACAAACTAGGACATTTTGGGACCAACATATGGTTCAATTTTATTTCAATAATTCGCTTGCGGCGTAGGGTCTTAAGATAAAGCGTGCACATAATACCATTCGGCCCCCCCCCCCCCCTCTCTCTCAGAATAAAGCATTTTTCATTATCTATTAAAAAGAACAGTCAGTTCTCTATGGTAACCTTGAATAATGCACGTTCAGGGAAAGGTTAACTTTATAGTGTTAGAAACAATAAATGGATAGATTCTGAAATCATCCCCTTACAAATAAATGAAAGTCCTGCTGTTCTACTCCTATACTGGGCTAATGAAGACGGGCATACGCCATGCAGTGTGCAATGGGGGAAATTTTGCCCGGACAGCAGCACTACGGCCTACTCTTATATCGAATTCCAACTGTCAAGGGATCTTTTACGTGCATGCCAATGTGTACACGGGACCTCGGTTTTTCGGTCCATCCGAACGACTAGACAGCTGTTCTTGTCAGGCCCTCCGTCCTGCATCACTGACAATCTCTAAATTTGTATAATGCCCCTTACTTCTTTAAATCTCTTGTCTACTTATACACCTTGTGTAGGTGTAATGTCTACTCACACCTGGTGGAGGTACACTGTCTACCTGTTAATGAAATAAATCAAACCTACCTTGGTAACAGAAAATGATTTAACTTTGCCAGTATGTCGTACGTGGGGACCTCTACATAAATCTATTAATGGACCACATCTGTAAATAAAATACACAAATAATAACTTGTATTACAAATATACACGAATAATAACTAGTCTTAGAAATATTCTGTGGCCATACACTGCAACCCCGGTATCATTTAATCTTGTGTATTTAGCACTTATTTCTTTCACATTCTTTTAATATCCAATCTTTGTTTAAAAATTTTGTAAAAATCGTTTGAAATCACCCCAAATCATGTGCTTGGGTCTGATTTAAGGGGGACTGATTAATTTTGATAGAGATTAAGGATTAATGACAACTTAACGCTTACAAGTATTTCTCCGTCAGTCACATAAAACTATTTGTTTCTAATGTTCACTTGAATGTTTCGATATAATGAAATGAAATGAAATGGGGGTTTAACGTCCTACTTATCTGCACCGACTGGGCTAATGAAGACAGACATATGCCATGCAGTACGCTGTGAGGAAAATTTTGTACTGACAACGGCACTACGGCTTTATTTTGAATTCCATGTCAAGGGTTCTTTGACGTGCACAATAATGTCTACACGGGACCTTGTTCTTTTTTCCTATCAGAATGAATAGACGGTGCCCTAGCCAAGCCTACATCCCGCACCACTGACAAGGGGCAGCAACACTGATAAAGTCTTGGGGAACCCCCTCTGCTAACACCGGAATCAAGCCCCGCCCCGAGTTCACAAAGCATTCTCAGACTTAAGTTAAGAATTTACTCAAAATTGTTCACCTTTTTTTTAACTAAAATATATCCCGTTATAAAACTTTTGTTGTTTTAAAGCACCAAATACATCAATAAGAATCTATGTGCAAAGTTTTGTGTTTCTGGATCAAAAATATCTCTTATAAACAGGTATTGAAAGTTGAGTAAATTCTTTACTTAAGTCTGAGAATGCTTCGTGAACTCTGGGCCCAGACTACCTGGTTAGGAAGACACCATAACCCAGTGCTGCCCAGGTTGTGCCCTTATCTCCGAAACTGGAAGCGGAAGCCCATCGCCACCAGGCCTATATTACTCCCTGGCCCAATCTTCCCCTATACACCTAATGTTAGCTAGCCCTAGTGTAGCCGGCTAGCCGCCAACCCTAAACAGACAGACAAACGACAGTCACAAATAAACAGAATAGATAAGTAAACATGACTTACTTATATACAGTGGTAGTGGGCGTGGTTACTTTCTCATTCAATATCCTTTGTTTAAATTTATTATACTACAAACAAAAATAAAATATAATGTAAACCAAATAATAATAATCCAGATATATCAATCAACATGGTATCAGGGCTTAATGTGTTGTTGACAAACTTTGGTTATTTTCAAGCCCACAACAACTAACCATTAAATACAGAAACTTCTGCTAAAAGAGAGAGAGAGAGAAACGGAGATTAACGTCAACTCGACACAAAATAGGTCATTTCGGGACTAACACATGGTTCAATATTATTTCAATGATTTGCTTGCGCATAGGGGTCTTTAGCAGTGGGAGGAAACCGGAGGACCTGGAGAAGACCCACGAGGTTGGACAGGCTATAACAACACAACTAAATGATACCTGAGTTGTAGTGTTAGCACTTGGACAGCCTGTAAGTAGAGCTCCTTAGACTGCCCTCAACACACCTGTGTCTTGTCAATTTATGTGCTGCCCCTAAAAAACTAGTATAGGATCCTCTAATACAGACAGAGAGTTATTTACATATTTCAATGGTTTGAGTTGATCTAAGGAACCATGGTGTCAGGTTGTCCAGGGAGGTTCCATCATTTACTGTAATTGTCTTCAAGAAACTGATGTAGTCTGTTTTTAAATGTATCAAGTTCCATAGGATTACATTAGACTAAACACAAGAGTTGTATGGAAACTAAGGGGTGACTGAGGGGGTGGCCGAATGATTAACGCTATAAATGGCATGGTTACGATCCCACACTTGTCAAGACAAGGAGTAGGATTGCTGGAACCTCCAATATTGCTACCCAAAATAAATTAAATAAACCATACCTCAAACATCTTGAGTAAATCTTCTTTTTTCATTTCTAGCCTCTCAAACGGTTGTTTTTCCTTGGCTATATTTTTAACTAATGTCTCTAAATTGGGGAAATCGTTACTCGATACCTGTCTGAAATATAAATCATTGAATGTGAGAGAGAGAGAGAGAGAGAGAGAGAGAGTTTAACGTCATTTCGGGACTAACATATGGTTCAATTTTATTTCAATAATTCGCTTGCGCGTAAGGGTCTTTAGCAGTGTGAGAAAACCGGAGGACCTAGAGAAAACCCACGAGGTGGACAGACATTCCTACTCCTTGTCACATACAACTGGGGAATCAAAACCACGCCAGTTGACTCAATGACAGGCCTTATGATACAACGCGCACGTGTTAACCATTAGCCCCCACCCCACCCCAACAGGAATTTTTAATCTCTTACAAACTACAATATTGTGAATGTGTAATCAGTAAGAGGACTATCAGTCCAAGAATTATTTAATTCTATTCCGGGTTAAATGACTTATAACAATTATCCAGTCCTATTTACTATGATCAAAAACATTTTCAGGGGTGTGTACTTGATAATGGAGCTTCAATCAGAAATGTTTTATAGATTTACCTCCCTTTACTGCAGAGACACGATTTGCATTTGTTAATGAGAAATATGTCTGTAAGTGATGAGATAAATTTTTTTTTACATTTTATCAACTTACCTTCCTTCTAGACTCATATCATAATAAAAACCTCCTTCAATAGGTGGACCGTAACAAAGATGGCCACCATAATGTAACTCCATGGCTTCACCTAACATATGTGCACTTGAATGCCAGAAAACATACTGACCTAATTAAAATACAAAAAAATATACACACGCTTATATTAACTGTAAACCCTCAACATGTGAAAAAAATGTTAAAATTGGATAAAAAACATATTTTTAATGATATAACAGGAAAGATAAAAGTTTAAATTTGTTAAAGAATTTGTAAAAAACATCCAAATTCATCTAATTTGTACTTGGGAGTCTAGTTTAAAGCTGACTGTTAATGTGTGATAATAAGTGTCCAATTTAATTTCATGACAACTGTTTAAAAATTAATCATTATACATCAATAATCAATTGGGTTGTTTAGTTTTTAACAGTATCAGATTATATATTAAAACCCTACCATCAGAGTCGTCAAATTTAAGGAGTTGTAACGTGGCATCTTTTTCAAACGGACGATCCAAATCCCACAATTCACCATTAACTTTAGCGATCACAGTATTATCAGCTAAACCTTGGCTAATAGAAAAAAAAAAAAAAAAAAATATTGTGTTATGAGGGAAATTTTCTCCAGAATCCGGAATGAGGTGTTATCGTTTGTCGAATTCATACTGCTATGGGTTCCACACTGGACCTTCAGTCATTGTTGTTTGTATTTTAGAGGAGAGCCGAAAAAAGCGCCCCTTGATCAACAAATTGAAAGAATCGCTCGCCTTTAAAAAAAAACAATGACTGGACCTTGTTTTTAACCCCATTTGAAGGACTAGACGCTGTTCCTTTCTGACTAGTCACAAAATTTCAACATTTGCGTCCAAATGAATAACCCATGGTCAGACCGTAATCCAGCTGCCAATCCGTAAGAAAATGTTGACATATTTTTGTTCATGGTTCTATGGTAACCGACATTTAATCTAACATTTTCGTTCAAAAACCCCTACCCACTTTCAGCAGGTTATTTAAAGCGATAATTTCATATTTTCTAAGAAAGTCAAAACATAATTATTTCTATGTCTTTTGCTCAATAGGTTATCAACTCACTATTATACGACCATGGGCATTATTTCCCACCCTTAAAAATCTTTGACACAGGAAATAATAACACAATTACCTTCCCTTGTTTTCCTATTGCCTCCATGCATTAGCTTCCTTCAAACGTTGGAATTTGAAGTTAAAAATGATATTTTTGCCAATTTCTCAGCTGGCAATAGTGAATTATAGGATTAATACGATTATTCTTTAACAAGGTAGGACGGTTTATGGATACCATCTATTTTAAGGCTTTATTTTAATAAATTTTACAAATATAACTTAAAAATATGAAATTGTAGCTTTAATTTATTATTTTCTATCTGCGACGTTGTTCAATAACCCCAACCCACTTTCTGAGGTTATTTATCATTTTCTATCCGCGATGTTGTTCAAAAAACCTTTCCCACTTTCACAGGTTATTTAATTTATCATTTTTTCTATACATGGTCTCGTTCAAAACTCGCCCACCCAGTTCTGCGTTTTCCTGTTTGGAAACCAGTGTTGAATTGTGGGACGGTCCCTTACACTGACAAAATAACAATATGATTAAAATACAGATCTATATTCCGTTTCATTTTTTCATACTTTCGATGGCCTACACTACATGAAGATCTGAACAGTTGTAGTGGGAGGTCGAATCAGGTGTCATACAAATGGCTTTTGACTCATGTCATGATGTCAGACATTTGATTAACCAATAAGCGTTGACGTTTCTAGTCGTTTACCCATAGTTCTGTGCACAGCACGCCAAAAATTTGGCATAACAGACAGTTTTATTGGCTAATTCCTCACATCAAGCAGAATGCCTGTTATATAACAAATCTTCCAGATCCTAGTGTAGTAAAAACATGTAAAACGTACTATTGAACTATAAAAACACGAAACGAAATAGGATCCGTGTTTTAATCAGATTGACAAACTATAGATAGGACAATCACCTGATTCCTTTCGCTACATCGTATGGTGAGGTACGCCATGATTCTCCTTCTACAACTTTACCGTCTGGTAGAGTTACTTTGATTGGTGCTGGAGTCTGTGCTGCTAACCAATCGTCATGTTCCTTTTTCAATTTATCCCATAATTTTTGCCTCTTTTCCAGAAATTCTGGGGGTGGGGTCAGCTAGAAAATATAATTAAGTAGAAATACAAGCCAACAGTGAGATCAACTTTCCCTCCAAAATCACAAAATGTTTTTATAAGCAAAAATGTAAATGCAATGGGGTTTAACATCCTACTGTTCTGCTCCGAACTGGTTTAATGAAGACAGACATACGCCATACAGGAAGCAACCAATGTCATCAGAATGTGACACTTTTATTATCACCATATGAAATGAAATGAAATGGGTTTTAATGTCCTACTACTGTTTTGCAGCGAACTGGGCTAATGAAGACGGGTATACGCCATACAGTGTGCTATGAGGGAAATTTTGTCTAGACAGCGGCACTACGGCCTACTCTTATATATAGTTTCAACTGCCAAGGGTTCTTTTACATGCCCTCTAAACAGGACCTTAGGTTTTTCATACCCTCCGAACGACTATACACTGTCCCTTGCCAGACCCTCCGACTTGCATCACTGACAATGGGATATCACAAGACATCCAGCCGAGCAATCTAACAACATACTCACTGAGCCACAGCGGTTCCTGACAGTAAGATAGACCGACAAACAGATGGATAATCCCATTTTAATAGTCCCCTACACTTAATATAGACTAAGTTCGAAAAAAGCAACTGACGATCAACGGCTTTTAAAGATAATTGTATAAATTATTGAAATAATTGACAAACAATATAAAACTATTGCATACTTACATGTAATGGATTACCATCTTTAGTTCCACTACCTCCACCTTTCTTGCCTTTTTTACCACCTTTACTATCCTATAAAAATACATCATAATTACATATGACAATACAGTGTATGTATAAATAAATGCAATCTGGTTAAAACACAGCTCCTATTTCGTTTCGTTTTTTTATAGTTCAAAATTTCGTTTTACTTGTCTTTACTACACTAGGATCTGGAAGAGTTGTTATCATTGACGTGTTCTGAATGTGAGGGGTTAGCCAATGAAACGGTCTGTTACGGCGAGCTTTAGGCGTGTTTTGCACGGAGCTGTGGGTAATCCACTATTAACATCAATGCTGATGGTTAATCAAATGTCTGACGTCATAGGGTCGAAAGCCGCTCGTCTGACCTCTGACGAGAGCTATCGCTACAACCGGTCAGATCTTCATGTAGTGTAGGCCATCGAAAGTATAAAAGAACGAAATGAAATATAGATCTGTATTTTAATTAGATTGAAATAAATGAAATGAGTTTTAACGTCCTACTTTTGGTCATACACCATGTGCTACATGTAGGTGTATGATGGAAATTTTTCCCGGATCATTGGCACTATTACGGCCTAGTCTTATACCGAATTCTAACTGTCAAGGCTTCTTTTACAATGTGTACACAGGGCCTTGTTTAATATTCAACCCATCTGAATGACTAGACAATAGTCCTTGCGAGGACCTCTGGTCTGCATCACTGACAAGAGAGAAACCATGCCGGAAAATCGGCCAACAAAGGGAGCGAACCCAAAGCCTCCAGACTAGCAAAGGAGCGACTTACACGTTGAGTCACTGCAGTTATCCATGTATAAATAGAAATGGTTTGAACGTTTCGTCAACACACTATTGCGGTCATTTAACATAGTAAAATATTTTGTATCGAGTGGACGTTAAACCCATTTTTCTCTCTCTTTTATGTGCAACATGAATAATGCTTGCGTTTTTTTGGTCCTATTCAATCAATTAGGCAACATCTTACTTGTCTCTATCAGAAAAGGTGTTTTACAACCGTCGGCTAATCAGCACAGGATTCAATTTGATTTTGAACAATAATTAGCTTGTGCATAGGGATCTTTAGGAGAGGGAAGAAACCGGAGGGCCTACTAGGTTGGACAGGTGACCCTACAAGCACCTTTTGAATGTGAGATATTGTATGCAACAGTCTAATGGCTATATATCTTGATTACTGGGTCAACTGCCCCCGTATAAAACAAGCTGTTACATATGTAGTAAAATGTAACAACAGCTTCATGTTGAAAGTCTAATAATCAATAGATGACAATCACGACAAAGGTTGTGTAGCTGATACTCAACAAAATCCTGGGGATTTCTCTAAAACTGAAATGAAATGTGGTTTAACGTCCTACTGTTCTACTCTGGCTGGGCTAATGAAGATGGGCATACGCCATACAGTATGGTATGAGGGAAATTTTGTCCGGACCACGAAGCTATACAGTCTACTCTTATATCAAATTCCAACTGTCAAGGGATCTTTTATGTGCACGCCAATGTGTGGGACTTCAGTTTTTCATACTATCAGAACAACTTGAAATCTGGCCCCGTCAGGCCCTCCATCCTACTCCATTCCTCTAGAACTCAATTCTTACATGCTATAAATATGATAGGGACCTATATTAATTTCATTCATCTTATTTATCGGCCTACAGAGAACTGAAGAATATAAATACTTCCTTATCAAATATTTAGGATTATTGATCCCAAGCCTTGAGAAAAACAATACAGTTAGTGACATCTTCCTAGATTTTCATTATCATAAATATTGAATACTAGCGGTTAAACCAGGTATAGCACGGATGTCGTCATTCGCCATGAATCGAAAGTAGCATAACTCCAAAACTGGAAGTCCATCGCCACCAGAACTACATGTATGTTACTAACCGATCCGAGATACCCCTATACCAAAATACACCAAATTTCATCCTCAGAACAACCTAGTGTAGCCACCAACTCTGAACAGACAAACAAACAAACAAACAAATATTGATATACTATATGTACATGACCTATTCAAACTCAAATATGAGAGAAGAGAGAGGGAGAAATGGGGTTTAACGTCCACTCGACACAAACTAGGTCATTTCGGGACTAACACATGGTTCAATTTTATTTCAATAATTTGCTTGCGCATAGGGGTCTTTAGCAGTGGGAGAAAACCAGAGTACCCGGACAAAAACCCACGAGGTTGGACAGGCGACCTTACTCCTTGTCACGTACAACCGGGGATTTGAAACCACGCTAGTTGACTCAATGGCAGACTTTATGATACAACGCACACATGCTAACCATTCAGCCATCCAACCCCCCAACTGAAATATGAAGTGAGGGGTTTAAAGGAGCTAAATCACTAATATTTTGAACCTAGAAATTGGCACAAATGGGTCGCAACACATATAATAATGTAATATGAATTTATATAAACTGTTTTACATTCAATCGTGTCCGTTTTACTGTGAATTGTCATCAGTTATGTTCGGCGAAATACGCCAGAAGTCTCAACCGCAAGTCAGTTTCTAGCGTCTGGTTATTCCAGTCAACACCGATATTATTTATTGCGCATGCTCTCCAAATAAGAACATGATATCACCGTTTGACATGACTTATGGAATATGTCTAGCCTCGTTCTTTGAGCACCCTTGTTACAAATGGTGCTGAAATGCATTATGGTACACGATTCGTGTACCAATGGTAAAATGTTTATTTTGTCTTAAATATTGGATATCAGAAGCCCATCTTTTCCAGGTAAGATCACAACACCAATGCTGATTTAAATTGCAACAAAATCGTGTTTCCAATGTCGAAGATTTTGGATGATATTGTGATACGGACTTAGCTACTTTAACATTCTACTATCCTGCACCAACTGGGCTAATAACGACAGGTATACATCATGCAGTGTGCTATGAGTGACATTTAACCAAGACAGTGGCGTTTCCACCTACTCTTTGTCGCATGAGTTGTTTTAAGTGCACTCCAACTTGTACATGGGATGTCTGTTTTTCAACCCAACCAAAGACTAGATGCACTTTCTTTACCAGGGTTGTTTTAATCTTATGTGTATAGCACCATATCCATGTACATGAGACCTCTGTTTTTCATTCCTTCTAAACAACTTGAGATAACCGCAATGAGTTTATTTTCGAAATAATTAATTAATATATAAAATATAGTTCTGTCAACACTAGCTTGACAGGCTTAGTGCCTGACATTGTTCGTGACAGGTGCCTTATTTCCAGGCTTGTTTCTTCCCATTGCTAATTAAAGACCCCAACATGCAAGTAGTGCTGGGTATTGCCACTGCAGTCACGATACTATACATATTGCGATTCAGATGCTACAATATGATCACGATTCATAACCAGGTCAATATTTACCAAGAAAACAACAGGATAAATGAATAATTGATATTTTAGTTAGAAATTGCCGTTACTGTCCAGGGCTTGAACTGTTCCATTGTCTACGTGTCACCGACAGACCAAAATAAGGACCAAAACAATTTAAGGGTTTTTGTGTCCACATGGATAATGTGTGACGTGGATAATTAAGAGTGACAGGTCAGTTACTGAAGCGACAAAAAAACATAAAAAAGAAACGCGATACATCGATTCAATGCGCATATCGTGAGATGATTCAACGATGTTTCGTGCCAGCACTACATGCAACCAAAGAAAGTTGAACCATATGTTAGTCTTGAAATGACCTAGATCCTATAAGATGGTGTTGAGTGAGCGTTAAACCTGATTTCACACTCTCTCCCCATAACTGAGTTGATGAATTCTCCTTTATAAGCCAACTGCACCTGCACTCAAATTAAGCACAATGAATACAATTAAGTTTGGGTGTGGCCAAACAAACCGTGAATATTAGAAATTGTCAATTACTAATAGTAATAAGAAGACTATAATAATAATACAGATCTTAGTTTTATCAACACCTATAGGATAGGAAACTTTGAAAACACTATAGGCCTAGTCATTAAAATGGTATCACGTCATTTGGGACTTGATTGGCGTCAATTGGGACTCAACTACAAACGACATTTGGGACTCAATATAAACGACAGTTGGGACTATTTATTTATGAGATATACATGTATAGTAACAGCTGTCTTAGTTGTCTTTCGTTTTATTTAGTTGATCGGCGATTGTTGAGACCGCGATTAACACTGCTAGTTCTCCTTTGTTTTGTTTTATCTGCGAGTATAAAACTTGACAATAATATATTGTTGAAAATTTGTGTATATTTAGTAATACTTCATTGTTTTTCTTTTATCAAATAGTAAACGAGCTTGATTGACCGACTACTGCTCATGTTTTTTCGTGAAACGGTATAACTGCAATCAACACACGGACGCCATTCTCGGTGATTGACAACTCACGTTTTTCCTCATCCACCAAAGAACCGTTAGGTTTCTTTGAACATACTGCAATAACATCGGGATTATCAGTTAATCAGCTTTAATTATCCCGCTTTGATCGTTGCCATTTCTTATATTTTCCACAAAAAAACTTTGCTTTGTACGCACTAATTTATCGATTGGTATTGCTATCTACGACAAGCATGTCAACGTGCAGCTCACGGATTATCGTTAACAATTTCTAGGGGCTTGTAAAAAAGATTGCATGTCGTGTAAATATTTATTTTGTTTTTTTGTGTAGGTCATTTTCAAATAAATTCATCAGCATATTATTAGTTTTAAATAAATATATATCTTTTATGAGAATCGATGATTATCAAAGAAACGTAAGTGCAACTAATGTTTTATCATTTGGTTGAGCCTTTTACTAACCACGTGTTTCATGTTAATAAATATTTTCTTTCGTGTTTTGAATTGGTCTATTTCGAATAAATTATCCCGATACGAGTCCCAAACGTCGTATACCCGAGTCCCAAACGACGTATACCAAAGTCCCAAACGTCAAATACCCGATCCAAATGTCGTGGTCATATTTTTTTGAGTCCCAAATGACGTGAGTCCCAATTGACATGTAATCATTAAAATGAGCAAAATACATCTTGAGAATAAAGTCCTAATTCAAACCTCAAAACAAAAAGCAAGATAGATTTTGAAATGTTAGGGGTAGGACTAGCCACTAGGAGGGGATGATGCAATAGTTGGACGAAAAAAAAAACGGGGAAAAAAACCGGTAATCGATCAGGGTGGATCTCTTATGATTAAATATAGATCTCGTCATAACACCGCCAGATATTTATAAGTTTCTGGAAGTTTTTACATAAAAAGGGACATCCGTATGCATATCAATCACGTATAATTATTATAATGACTTTAGCAATTCATGATTTGGCAAGCAAGCGTCAACAAGGGGCAACTATCAACCAAGCCGCAAGAAGACCGTCTTCGGTCTAACACACCATACTCATAGCTCGAACATAAGTGATGCCTATCTTCTTAGCGAGTCGGATTAAATTGCATCTGGAAAGCATTTCTAGTTGTTTGGAAATCAGTTATCTAAAAGAACCGTCGTGCCTTCTTTTTATCTGCTATTTCCATTTTCTCCAATCCCTCAACCACGTTGTTCGCCATACTTGTTGATGTGTATCCGGCGAATGTAAATATACGGATTGTCTTGAAAACGTGGACAGGTAGGCTAACCGGTTTGGTTTTGTCCCTTATTTATTCATTTGATAAAATGAAATGAAATGAAATGGGGTTTAACGTCCTACTGTTCTGCCCCTAACCTGGGCTAATGAAGACGGGCATACGTACGCCATACAGTGTGCTATGAGGGAAATTTTGCCCGGACAGCGGCACTACGGCCTACTCTTATATCGAATTCCAACTGCCAAGGGATCTTTTACGTGCACGCCAATGTGTACACGGGGCCTCGGTTTTTCGTCCCATCCGAACGACTAGACAGCTTTCCTTGTCAGCCCCTCCGTCCTGCATCTATTCATTTGATAAGGGGGATTGAATTATGAATGAAATGGGGTTTAACGTCCTACTGTTCTGCTCCCACTGGGATAATGAAGACGGGCATACGCCATACATTTTTGTATTAGGGAAATTTGCCCAGGCAGCAATTGAATTCCAACTGTCAAGGATTCTCTTAAGCGTGTCTATATACACGGGACCTTAGTTTTTGGTTCCGCCCGAACAGCTAGACGTTTTTCAGAGTCATGTCCTCCTTCCGTCACCACTGCAGGGGCGGGTCCCCCATCCCTGACATTATATCGACAGGGGAAATATAAGCTATTAATTCTCAGGACCGAATTAAGGTTGATATATATGGGTCCGCTGGGTGAAATATTTATCCGAGGCCATGCATCAACAGTGCAAAGGTGGCATAATGGCATATTTCTGGTCATTGTCCCTCACACAAATGCAATTTGTGGGTCTGGTTGATAATAATTGGCACAAACATAATATTCAACATAATAAATGGCATATTTATTGATGGACCAAATATTTTTAGAACTAATATTGGGGGCCTGTTGCTACAGCCCAGTGCACCCCCCACACACCCATACACCCCACCCCACCCCTCCGTTCAATAACAAAATGACATATTCACTATATTCACTCGATAATTCCATCATTCGCACGGAAAAAAACTTTCTTTTTCTTGAGTAGGCTACTATTTGTAAAATGCCATTTTTGCAAGCGAGTGCCAAGTAGTCATAGGTTGGTAAGGTATGATCACCAATTAACACCTACGACATCACTGCAATTTCTGTGACATCGTTTAAAATGACATTTTGAACACAGTTGTCGAAATCACCATTTCACAGATATTATTTGGTGGTACCAAAAGTCCTCGAGTTAAGAAATATCGACAACTTGATACAAGAATTGAACATTTGAAAACACAGTTATTAAATGGCTCTTTAAGTGTAAATCGGTATGGAACAAATATTTCCTATTTAGTGGGGCTGTAAAATGTAGGACATCTCTATAAGCGAGATTTCAGCGCAAAATGTACAAATTTTCCTAAATTATTTAACAATATACAATTTTCATTATTCAGCAGTTCTATAAATTTAAACATTGATGGTTTTTTCCAATAGTATGTGTCTATATACTTTTCTCTTAAAGTTGCGTGGGATTTGCAGACTAGGACAAAATGATTTTATTTATTTATTTATTCTTCAAGTAAAGGTTACAACATGACAATAAATTAATGTATTATAATAAGAACTAGTGTCGCATTACACGACTGGGAAAGTGACAACAATAAATACAGATATGTTTATGAAAATAAGAACTATGTGCTACATTGTATAAGTGGGATGCCAAATGAGACAAGCATAGAGAAATATGATAGGTATGGTGTCATGAAGAGACCTTTACTTAGGATAGCCCATAAAGCCTGACCTATATAACATCCAATGCTTATTTCCAATGGGGTCCAAAGTTGCCAAGGTCGCGTCAGGTCATCATTGGAAGGCAAAATTTAATAAACATGCCATCACAGCATTGTATCACAAATAATAAAATATATTTATGTCTACATGTTATACATCAACCAATTTTATTAATAGTAGATTATCAAGCTTGTAGTTTTATTTATTTATTTATTTATTTATTCTTCAAGTAAAGGTTACAACATGACAATAAATTAATGTATTATAATAAGAACTAGTGTCGCATTACACGACTGGGAAAGTGACAACAATAAATACAGATATGTATATGAAAAAAAGAACTATGTGCTACATTGTAATAATGTGGGATGCCATATGAGACAAGCATAGAGAAATATGATAGCTATGGTGTCATGAAGAGACCTTTACTTAGGATAGCCCATAAAGCCTGACTTATATAACATCCGTTGCTTATTTCCAATGGAGTCCAAAGTTGCCAAGGTCGCGTCAGGTCATCATTGGGAGGCAAAATTTAATAAACATGCCATCACAGCATTGTATCACAAATAATAAAATATATTTATGTCTAGATGTTATACATCAACCAATTTTATTAATAGTAGATTATCAAACTTGTAGCATCACAGATTAACATTGTATTAACAATAAATACTTCTTGGCTGCAGCTGTAAAGTGAATCTAAAGACTTAATATCATTCGGTAAATCGTTCCAGACACTTATGGCGGTATAATAAAATGATGTGAGCTGATCTCTACCCGAGCATTTTGGAACCGCAAAATTGAATAAACTAGATCTTGTGCCATATTGATGAGTATCTCTAACACATTTAAATTTTGATTTAAGGTATGATGGACAATTATTATGAAAAATTTTATGTACGTGATTGAGTTTTAACTGTTTAACTCGGTTTTCAACATTAAGTATATTCAAATCAGAATATGAAACATGATCTCTACGTCCTAGCCCATTCACAAATCTAAGAACCTTATTTTGAACAACTTGTAATTTATTTTTAAGTGATTGATTCACACCAGAATACCAGGCTGAGCAGGCATAATCAAAGTGGCACTGAATAAGTGCAGAACAAAGTAAATTTTTGTTTTTTTTGCTAAGGCATTTATTATAGCGAAACAGAAATTGTAATCTTGAATTTGCTTTCTTAATAATTTTGTTAAAATTGTCCACACCAGACAAGCATTTGTCAAAACGTAGACCCAAATATTTAAGGTTATCTGTTGCTTTTACGGTATGGTTATTGCAGGTTATTGTAAACTCTTTAATACTTCTTAGTTTACGTGTAGGCCCGAAGAGAATACACTTTTTTTTCTTGAGATGGAGCGACAGTTTATTATCGATGAGCCATTCTGAACAGGAATCAAGAGCACAGCCAAGTGTTTGTGAAACAACTTCAGGATTCTGATCGGAAAATAATATTGTACTGTCATCTGCGTATAAAATAAGTTTACATTTTGAGGGGATACTGTTAACCATATCGTTTACATAGCACAGAAATAATAACGGTCCCAGGATACTACCCTGGGGCACGCCACATCTTCTATTTCTAAATCATTACAGTATATACAAAGTCTTTCATTTCTCTCTATATTGTAATATCTCCCTGTCTCAATTTTTATTTAGCTTACTCTAAGTTTACAAATATCATTCTTATAATATATAGGGTGTTTTAAATAAAACTGTAATTTAAAATCTACATTCAAACTTCTATAAAGAAGACATTTTGAAGACGTTTCAAAGTATTCTGACAAAGACTGAATATAAACATCTTTAATTCTCTGATAAAATTCACTCAAAAATATCTTATCGTCGAATACAGATTGTTTCCCATATGTAACCAAAGCCATAAGTTTCTAAACAACTCTTAACAAAATTTATCCAAGGGCTGTAACTCTTATTGGACGTATGTAATGCTAGCATATCCATGTAGCAGGAATGGAGAATAACATTGTTTGTTTTCAGTAACTTGAGCCAATATTTAATAATTCTTTATTTTCTTATTAAAGATAGAGGTAATCTACCTAGTTCATAATAAATGAGTGCATTAGTTGTAGACAGTTTTACCCCAAGTAGTCTTTTACAATATTTAGTATGGTCTTTTTCAATATCATCTCCAGGGTGCCCGGTGGTATCCCCATGTTTCACAGACATAGTTTAATACTCAAGGGTGGTATTCCCATGTTTCACAGACATAGTTTAATACTCCAGGGTGATATCCCCATGTTTCACAGACATAGTTTAATACTCCAGGGTGGTATCCCCATGTTTCACAGCCATAGTTTAATACTCCAGGGTGGTATCCCCATGTTTCACAGCCATAGTTTAATACTCCAGGGTTCCCGGTGGAATCCCCATGTTTCACAGACATAGTTTAATACTCCAGGGTGGTATCCCCATGTTTCACAGCCATAGTTTAATACTCCAGGGTGGTATCCCCATGTTTCACAGCCATAGTTTAATACTCCAGGGTGGTATCCCCATGTTTCACAGCCATAGTTTAATACTCCAGGGTGGTATCCCCATGTTTCACAGACATAGTTTAATACTCCAGGGTGGTATCCCCATGTTTCACAGACATAGTTTAATATGGAACCAATATATGTATCAAATAATGAAAGGCTTGTTTTTATATTGAAATTGTTTTCTTTTATTATTTTGTGCAAGCCGAAACATGCTTTATTACCCGGAGATGATATTGTTTGTTGAGTAAGATTTGGTTTACAATTATAATTAAAGTTAACACCTAGGTAATTAAAGTTTTTAACAAATTCAATATTACAATCTTTAAATGTCCATGGATGTGTTTTAAAATTCCTCCCCTTCCTAAATACAACAATTTTTGTCTTCATCTCATTAACTTTAAGATGATTTGACTCACAATAAAATTCTACCAATATTGCTATAATCTTTTTTTTATTTTTTTTATTTCAGTTATTTTAAATAACCTATAATCTTGGTGCTTTTATTATTCAATGACACAATTTTATTAGTATTGGAGTTGACTTTGTTTATTAACATTCCAATTGCCATTGATGTGGCAGTATTATTTTTTTTTTATCTCATTTATTGAATAAATAATAAATTAACAAACAGGTTGTCATTTATCAAACATTTCAGTTTAAACGGAACAAAACGTCGGGGCTGCATGGGAAAGGTTGCTATTCTGGATATAAATTGGTAAAATCCACATAAGGTTTTGTTGGTGCTTATACACAGGTTTGTATGAAACAAAACAAGTTTCATAAATTTTAACCAAAGTGGTCTGTAGTTTTTTGATAAACTGCCCGTTTCTTCAAACGATCGTTACGCATCTACCATCTCTGTTATAATTATATATTGAATACGTTTAACCTGTTCTTCCACATATGTAATATTGGTGGACACCAATATTGTCGTTTAATAATACACACTGGACCGTATACGCAGAAACAAGTATTCTTATTGCATTATACACGAGGATGAATGTTTTATCTCCCTTTCACATAATAAATCTGCAGCTTCAGCATTAAAAATAAAATGGTCTGGGTGATCATCTAGTCTTTGGTCATCAGTAGGTATACGATGGTAATCTTTATCAGCACTAACATGACGACGATAAGTTCTCTGTACTAATCGTGATCGTAAAGATTCTGTAAAATTGGTTAGATGAGAAGCAATGCTTGCAGATGTCGAAGCTATTTGACGTATCTTTATTTCTGGTACTGACCGTCTACGTTGATTAGTTGTAAGAACAGGCTGTTTGTGTGATATCAAAGATGCAAGATGATTAGGATGACTACAACTAAGCAGATAACCAATGATGGGCATAGGCATTGGTACTGACCATGGATCGGGTTCGGGTTCATTTTTTACCTGATCTAGTTGATACTCAAGCAAATTGTTCATTAACTGTTGACCCCTTCTATCTTTAAATGCTAATGGCGAACGTCCATTCTTATCCATTGTAAATTCTGATGCACCATAATCTAACAAAATATTAACAATACAAGTTTCATTCTCCATACCATAAGCATAATGTAATGGTGTTCGAAAGAACTGATCTCGTATTGAATCTATTCTCTGTTTTTGTTGATACACCAATGTCTCGGCTAATAATTGAACTATTTGAACATTTCTTCTTAAAACTGCTTTATGAAGAGCTGATTGTCCGTCTCCTAATCTTTTTGAGTCTGCTAAACATGTTCCAAATACACCAATTGCACGACAATCCATAAATTCTAATAAATGTCTGGTAGTTTCATAATCACTGTCCTCTACAGCTTCATGAAATCTTGTGATCTGTTTGTAGTAATTTGGCAAACAAGTATAAGCTTCTTCCTCTTCAGAATTCAATATGACTTGAGGAATATGTGGATAGTTGTGTAAAAATAATATTTTTCTGTTATCTCCACCTTCTATAATCCATCTTCTAACATTCTTATCTATAACATTTGTTATTTCTTCAGATTGCAATTTCTGAGCATAATCCCTTGCATACATATTATCCTCAATACTTTGTGTTACTAAATATGCAGAACCAAGATGTAAAATATGATCCACAACATCGCTTCTCACGGTTTCATCTATACAATGGAATAACACATTTTTCCCTTTATAGAAGATTTTATCCACACTGATGGCACCTTTAGGCGTAACTTGTTTTAATAAAGTGGATTGAATCGGGGGCTGTAATCCCAATACTGCAAAGTACATAGGAATGTCTGTCTCATAGTCATAATCGGCTTTCATACCAAGATCCACACGAGCTCCATGTTCCAATAGCATATTCACAATATTCCTGTTCCCTTGTTTCAAAGCATAGTATAATGGCGTAGCACCTTTATCTCCCATGTTTCTAAAATTTATGTTTATTTTTCTTTTTGAATCCAGAACATTTTTGACAGCTTGAACATCACCTGATAAAACACCATGTGCAAGATCCATAGAAGGTCGGATACAGCTTACAACTCTAATAATATTTTCATTGCCAACTTCTAATGACAACTGTAACAGAGATTTACCATTCTGCTGTACATCTACTCTACACCACTGATTTACTAATTTTCTTACATTCATGGCATCATCCCCCTCTACTGCTTCCCATATACCTGGAACATATCTCATAAAAACATCTTTCACAGATTTGGGAATGTTTTGTTTTATAGTAACCAGATCCAGGGGATAACAACCTTCATTGTTTGTGGCATATACATCAGAATTACACCTTAAAAATGCTTCAACAACATCAGGATTTAACTCCTCCATTTTTAAGTACTGCAATAATGGCGTGTCTCCATTCTTATCTTGACGATTTATTGGAGCTCCCAAGTTTCTTAGTAGGTAGACAGTTTGGATACCATTATTCACACACCAGATCTTCTCTGATAAAGCCTTAACAGCAATGAAGTACAAATTATCAAGCTGTTCTGATGATAGTGTTGAATTTACAGCAGACAAAACAGACAGTAAAAGTGAAGGATTTAAGTTTCTCACTGCTTCTTCTATTGGACCCTCCATGTTCACGTAAAACGCTGAAAATTTCATTTATAGCCTACTCAAACAAGCAGACGATATTATCCACTCTTTTTTGGGCGACGATAAACGCATATCGATACTGTGTTTTATCTGTTTATGATGAATCAATAAAAATCTTATCTTATCTTTCTACCAACGTACGATGTAGGTTTTATTTCGAAATCCAGTAGTCAATCCGTTATTTTTACAGAAAATCGAAAATATAACAAGTCTCGTACATCCAGTCTTTACAGTTCGCGGTGTCAGTTGTCATTTGGCACACTGATCCGCAGTGAATATTTGCTTGGCCGCGACAATCACTGATAAGGATAACATTGATGCGGCTTAATGAGCTAGAAATATTAACTTTTTTCCTGCGACAAATTAGATTCTAAAACATTTTTTGTATATATTGGAAAAATAAATAAAGGCGTTTGACGTATTTGTAGGTAAAAATTATTTCCGATTTAGTGTAAATGGGTATTAAATTGACTAAAATGTAGCATTCTGCAGTTATGTCTTATGTAAACAATGCACGCGCCATTCAGCAAATGATTCACACCGCGTGCTGTGACAGCACGTGTTAAGGCAGTCATCTATGACAGAGATATTATACGAGACTCGTAATTCTCTGTGAAACAGATTGGTCATTTGGTACTGCCGAGATCAAATCAGCCGTCACTTTCTCATCCTTCACTAAGAATACTCACCCTTCACTAACTGCGAATCAAGATGGCCGTCACTTACAAATTCGCTGGATGACCATGACTTCAGTGAAATCACGTGCTCGGTATGGGCTAATCCGAGCCTTCGATAAATGAAATGAATTGAAAGTAGTCTATTTTTAGTAACCCATTTCTTTGCTAAAATAAAAATGCTTTTATCTCTTCTAAAGTATGTAATCATGAATGTGCCAGAAAATAACAAGTAGATTTAAAGAGCCATAGAAACCTTCTTTCCGGTGATATATGACACAATAACTGGAATTTCGTATTAAGACACGTATTTTGACATTAAACACTCGCCCCACCCCCACCACTATCTTTAATTCAGCCAGTGAAGGCTACCAAACTTGTATCAATTTTAATTTAAAACGTATATATACATTCCGCCGAAAAAATAATAAATACATTTCAAGAGAGGATTAACTTTACTTTTCAGTATAGATCTACGGAATTTTAGATTAAGCCCCGCATTTTAATTTCAAATACCCCCCCCCCCCACCTTTTCTTTCACTTTTCAAGGCAAGTAAATATAAATGTGCCAGAAAATTATTTACATATTTAAAAAGAGTAGTGAACGTGCTTTCTACTGATATGTAGCATGATATCTGGAATTTCGTATTAAGACACGTATTTTACTTTAAATACCCCCCCCCCCCCCCTCATTTAATAGATTTTTGTAACGTTCGTCTTTGGTCACCTCTCAAAGCAAGTAAATATGAATGTGCCAGAAAATAATTTATATATTTGAAAAGAGAACTGAATTTGCTTTTTAGTGATATGTAACATGATATCTGGAATTTCGTTTTAAGACCCGTATTTTTACTTTGAATACCCCACCCCCATCATTCAATAGAGTTTTGTTTCACTCGACCTTGATCATCTATAAAGGTAAGTAAATATAAATGTGCCAGAAAATTATTTATATATTTAAAAAAGAGAAATGATTATGCTTTTCAGTGATATGTAACATGATATCAGGAATTTCGTATTAAGACCCGTATTTTTACTTTAAATATACCCCCCCCCCCCATCATTTAATAGATTTTTGTACCGTTCGTCTTTGGTCACCTCTCAAGGCAAGTAAATATGAATGTGCCAGAAAATTATTTATATATTTGAAAAGAGAAATAATTGTGCTTTTCAGTGATATGTAACATGATATCAGGAATTTCGTATTAAGACCCGTATTTTTACTTTAAATACCCCCCCCCCCATCATTTAATATATTTTTATACCGTTCGTCTTTGGTCACCTCTCAAGGCAAGTAAATATGAATGTGTCAGAAAATTATTTATATATTTAGAAAGAGCAGTGACCACACTTTCTACTGATATGTAGCATGATATCAGGAATTCCGTATTAAGACCCGTATTTTTACTTTAAATTACCCCCCCCCCATCATTTAATAGATTTTTGTACCGTTCGTCTTTGTTCACCTCTCAAGGCAAGTAAATATGAATGTGCCAGACAATTATTTATATATTTGAAACGAGCAATGACCGTGCTTTCTACTGATATGTAGCATGATATCTGGAATTTCGTATTAACACCCTTAATTAGACATTGAATACCCCCCCCCCCCGATATTACTTAAAAGAGTTCAGTATTATCCAACTTTGATAGTTTGTCAAGATAAGTAAATATAAATGTGCCAGAAAATAATTTATATATTTGAAAAGAGAAATGAATTTGCTTTTCAGTGATAAGTAACATGATATCATATGTAACATGATATCTGGAATTTCGTATTAAGACCCGTATTTTTATTTTGAATACCCCTACCCCCATCATTCAATAGAGTTTTGTTTCACTCGACTTTTATTTATCATCTATTAAGGTGAATAAATATAAATGTGCCAGTAAATTATTTATATATTTGAAAAGAGCAATGAAAGTGCTTTTCAGTGACATGTAACATGATATCAGGAATTTCGTATTAAGACCCGTATTTTTACTTTAAATACCCCCCCCCCCCCAATCATTCAATAGATTTTGGAACCTGTTCGATCGTCTTTGATCACCTCTCAATATAAGTGAATATAAATGTGTCAGAAAATTATTGATATATTTGAAAAGAGCAATGAATGTGCTTTTCAGTGATATGTAACATGATATCAGGAATTTCGTATTAAGACCCGTATTTTTACTTTAAATACCCCCCTCCCCATCATTTAATAAAGTTTTGTACCGTTCGTCTTTGGTCACCTATCAAGGCAAGTACATATGGATGTGCCAGAAAATTATTTATATATTTAGAAAGAGCAGTGACCGTGCTTTCTACTGATATATAGCATGATATCTGGAATTTCGTATTAAGACCCGTATTTTTACGTTAAATCCCCCCCCCCCATCATTTGATAGATTTTTATACCGTTCGTCTTTGATCACCTCTCTTGGGTAAATATGAATATGCCAGAAAAAACATTTATATATTTTATATATTCTATTAAATGATGGGGGGGGGGGGTGTTATTTAAAGTATAAATACGGGTCTTAATACGAAATTACAGATATCATGCTACATATCAGTAGAAAGAACGTTCACTGGCCTTTCTAAATATATAAATAATATTCTGGCACATTCATATTTACTTGCCTTGAGAGGTGACCAAAGACGAACGGTACAAAAATCTATTAAATGATTTTTTGGGGAGGTGGGTATTTAAAGTAAAAATACGGGTCTTAATACGAAATTCCAGATATCATGCTACAAATCAGTAGAAAGCGTGGTCACTGCTCTTTCTAAATATATAAATAATTTTCTGGCACATTCGTATTTACTTGCCTTGAGAGGTGATCAAAGACGAACGGTACAAAAATCTATTAAATGATGGGGATGGGGGGTATTTAAAGTAAAAATACGGGTCTTAATACGAAATTCCTGATATCATGTTACATAATGAAAAGCACATTCATTTCTCTTTTCAAATCTATAAATAATTTTCTGGCACATTTATATTTACTTACCTTGAGAGGTGATCAAAACGAACGGTTCAAAAATCTATTAAATGATGTGGCGGGGGGGGGGGGGGGTATTTAAAGTAAAAATACGGGTCTTAATACGAAATTCCTGATATCATGCTACATATCAGTAGAAAGCGCGTTCATTGCTCTTTTCAAATATATAAATAATTTTCTGGCACATTTATATTTACTTGCCTTGAAAAGTGAAAGAATAGGTGGGGGGGGGTATTTGAAATTAAAATGCGGGGCTTAATCTAAAATTCCGTAGATCTATACTGAAAAGTAAAGTTAATCCTCTCTTGAAATGTATTTATTATATTTTGGCGGAATGTATTAAAATTGATACAAGTTTGGTAGCCTTCACTGGCTGAATTAAATTAAAGATAGTGGTGGGGTGGGGCGAGTGTTTAATGTCAAAATACGTGTCTTAATACGAAATTCCAGTTATTGTGTCATATATCACCGGAAAGAAGGTTTCTATGGCTCTTTAAATCTACTTGTTATTTTCTGGCACATTCATGATTACATACTTTAGAAGAGATAAAAGCATTTTTATTTTGAGCAACGAAATGGGTTACTAAAAACAGACTACTTTCAATTCATTTTATTTATCGAAGGCTCGGATTAGCCCATACCGAGCACGTGATTTCACTGAAGTCATGGTCATCCAGCGAATTTGTAAGTGACGGCCATCTTGATTCGCAGTTAGTGAAGGGTGAGTATTCTTAGTGAAGGATGAGAAAGTGACGGCTGATTTGATCTCGGCTTTGGTACTGCATGGCGTGAGACAGAGAGGGTTTAATTTTGTTAGTTTCACATCATGTGACAAATACTAAACGCCACTTTAAAATTCTAAATATTGGGATAATATATACACATCAACATATATTGTCAGGAGTAGATCTAAATGGTTTGATGGGTGCAGCAAGTTTTATTCTTTATTCAAGTTGCATCGACTCCGACCCGTATCTGACATCAGATTAAATACTGAAAAACTGTTTTGCTGTCATTGCCACTGTACCTGGGGGAAAAAATGTAAAGTTAAAAAAGTTTTTAAAGTTTATAAGGGGATGAACTATTAAACTATGGCGATGTGTAATGTATTTATTGTCTTCTGTAGGAGTGGTGTCTGGGTATCTCAGTTTCTAGATCCAGTCTAAAATAAAAAGCAAACTTCGTAGGAGGCGTTTCAATAAGTTATATAAACAACAAAATTGTTCAAGAATCTGTAGGCCTACTCCAGACATTGCTGAGAGGTTTGGTTCACACAGGGTCAGAATATCAAAGAGTAACATCTAATTTGTAGGATTAAAGAATCTGGTGACAAAATGACAACATTAACGGTAGAAGGTGTAAAAGGAATAATATTAACGGCCTTGTTCCTGTTGACTTTCATCGTGGGAGTAATCCCAGTCAAATTGGTGAATGTATGGAAAAGGCGCTCGATGACGGCAGACCAGGCGTCAACGATTAACTCACAATCTAATTCAGATAATCAGGATGACAGTGGATTGAAACCGTTGTTTAAAAAAGTGATAGGTTTATTGAGTTGTTTTGCGGCTGGTGTATTTTTAGCGACATGTTTTTTGGATCTGTTACCGGGCGTACGACGAACAATGACTCACGTCCTGTATTCGTTCAATATTTTTACTGGTTTTCCCATCTCGGAATTTGTCATGGTCCTGGGATTCTTCGTGATATTAATAACGGAACAGATTGTTTTAACGTACAAAGAAAAACGTATCCATGATAATTCCGTATCCAGCGACAAAAAACCTCTTTTAACGAACGAAAATGAGAATTGGCAAGAGGAGAGTGGACGCAGTGACCATTCCATAACTGGTATCCGTGATGAACCCGATTTCGAAGCAAGTTTTCAGGGCGAGAAGCAAACAAGATTGATCAGAAGCGATTCTTACAGCCATCGGAACAATAATTTACCACATTCATCCCTGCGCTCGCTTATTCTCTTAATAGCTTTATCTATGCATTCTGTATTCGAAGGTCTGGCCGTCGGTTTACAGAAAACTACCGGCGACGTCGTTGGAATTTTCGCAGCGTTGATTCTCCATAAGAGTATCCTTGGATTCAGTTTAGGACTTAATCTTGTACAAAGCAGACTTTCGCAGAGCTTGGTTATTCGCTCAATCTTCGGTTTTTCTATATCGGCACCCCTGGGTGTTGGTGTGGGAATGGGTATTATGAATCTGTGGGACTCGACGACTTCTAGTCTGGTGCAAGGATTGTTGCAGGGTATCGCCACCGGGACCTTCGTTTACGTGACATTCTTTGAAGTGCTTCCCCATGAGTTTAACAGTCAGACTAATCGTTTGTTGAAGGTGCTGTTCTTGATTTTAGGGTACAGCACAGTCACGGGGATTCTGTTTTTAAGCGGAGATATTAAAAAACCCTTTTGTGTTGTAGAATCAGAAATGAACGGAAATCACAAGTGATATTAATTGTTTAAATATTTCATTTAAAAGGAATCTTGATGAATTGTGATGAAAGTAAAAGATACCGGTGAATGGAAGGTATGATGCCCATGTGGTCGATTTAAAGAGACAATATCAGGCACAAATTATTACACAATGTATATAGGCTTATGTTATTGGAGGGGGTTGGATGGCTGAATGGTTAGCACACGCATTGTATCATAAGGTCTGTCATTGAGTCAACTGGCAGACAACGAGTAGGGTCGTCTGTCCAACCTCGTGGGTTTGTTCCAGGTCCTCCGGTTTCCTCCCACTGCTAAAGACCCCTATGCGCAAGCGAATTATTGAATTAAAATTGAACCATATGTTAGTCCCGAAATGACTCAATTTGTGTTGAGTGGACGTTAAACCCCCATTGATATAATATATGTTGTGTGATAATTTGTACTTGACAAAGCTCGTTGACAGTCAGTTGCCTTACATGAACAAAATGTATGTTGTGGCAATGCGTCTATTAAAGAGGTAATGACTCTATTAAAGTCAGGATATTTGGTGGCATTAATCATATTAATCGAAAAATTTTATTTTAATATACAGTACTTTGTTTATCTCTCCATTAGGGGGTGGGGATGGCTGAATCGTTAGCGTGTGCGCGTTGTATTATAAAGTCTGTCATTGAATCAACTGGTGTGGTTTCGATTCCCCCGGTTGTACATGACACGGAGTAGGATTGCCTGTCCAACCTCGTGGGTTTTCTCCGGTTTCCTCCCACTGATTCTAGAAAAGTGGTTCATTTCATTTCATAACCCAACAAGTTGTGGTCTGATCCCAGAAAAATAGTTCATTAAACCCCATTTCATTTCATTTACCTACCAAGAAGTTGTGGCAGATGCCAGAGAAGTAGTATTCCCCATTAATCAGGCCAGGAAATAACCGTTTTAGATGTACCTGACCAAAATGTCAGGCACTAATCAAATAGTACCTGACATTTTCAATTTAGTGCCAGACATAAATTAATAATGTCAATAAAAAAAGACAAATCAGTGCCGGACAAAATGACAGGCACCAGAAGTTTAGTGCCTGACAAATCCTGATTCTGTGCCTGACATTGTCTGTGACAGGTGCCTTATTTCCAGGCTTGCCATTAATGTAATGTAGTGTTTCCTAAAGTGGATAATTCTGATGAAATGAAATGAAAAGGGTTTTTTTTAAACGTTCTACTTTTCTCCAGATAATTCTGATGAAATGAAATAGGGTTTAATTTAACGTCCTACATGTACTTTTCTTTACCAACTGGGTTACGAGAAGGATAATTGTGATGAATTAATATGGCAATGGTGAAACTAAATGATCAACATCTGTCTGTCCGATAAAATCTATCCCCATTCATACATTTATTGATTTCCTCCATGATAATAAACAAGAGTACGATTTTTATTTGTTATAATAAATGTGAATATTATATAGCAATTTATTCTATGCAATGTATAAATTAACAATATTTCTTTGTTAAATGTGATAAATGTCTGTATACGTGTTTTTACATACCCATGATTAAAGATACATTATGGGAGATTAGATAAAGAGCTGGCAGTTCTCGTTATAATAGTTAATAATGAGATAATGTAAATGGGATTTGCTGAAAATTTCAGTGTGGCAGTATTTTGTTATTATTAAAGATACATTATGGGAGATTACATAAAGAGCTAGCAGTTCTCGCTATAGTAGTTAAAAACTAGATAATGTAAAGGGAATTTGCTGAAAATTTCAGTCGAATTGATCTACACTGAACTGAGAATTTAGCGATTGAATTTTGGGACTAGCCTCGATCATCATTACTAAAATCGGTACGATAAAATACATAGTCTCGATTATCCATTTCTTGATTTAGTCATGAATGAGAGTTTAGCAGCTGATCGGATCCTAATCCAGTGAATATCGCAGGCTAGCAATGACATCGAGAGTTGATGATTATGTTCTGTCTGGATAAGTTAATTAATGTCTAATTAATAATTTAGATAACATTTCAGGCCTACAGAAAGACCTGCAATAGGCAGATTTAGTTCTTTCATAATGTATGTTTTATAATAAAATTAAAAAAATATGAGTGATGTGTAGCCAGACCAGATTTCTCACATGAAGTGGCTGGTTTATTTAATGTAAATATTTCTTGCCGTCACTAGTCATCCAAAATCCATCCATATTCTGGGAGGTGAGGTTGGAAAATGAAATGAAATGGGGTTTAACATCCTACGGTTCTGCTCCTAAACTGGGCTAATGAAGATGGGCATACGCCATACAGTGTGCTATGAGGGAAATTTTGCCCGGGCAGCGGCACTATCGCCTACTCTTATATCGAATTCCATCTGCCAAGGGATCTTTTACGTGCATTCCAATGTATACACAGGACCTCGGTTTTTCGTATCATCCGAAGGACTAGACAGGTTTAGATCATAAGGACTGTCATTGGGTCAGGTGGTGTGGATCCAACCCAGACCTTGTACGTGACAAGAGGAGGGTCATCTGTCCAACATCGTGGGTTTTCTCCGGGTCCTTCGGTTTCCCCCCACTGAGAAAGACCACCAAGGGCAAGCGAATTATTGAAATAAAATTGAACCATATGTTAGTCCTGAAATAACCTAATTTGTGTCGAGTGAACGCTAAACCCCATTTCTCACACTTTCCATATTAGAATTTCAAAATCCATGTATGGTATTTTTTTATTTTTAACGTGGTCCAGTACAGATATTTTTAAATCTGTTTTCCTTCTATCTGGCCAGCAATTAATGGAGGATAGTCTTGATGTTCTTAAATATTTAGATATGATCTCATATGTAATACAGGTTGACCCCAAAAAAACAGAACCCATAAAATTTATATTAAATCCTAAAAAAGATCCAGTAAATTTCATAAAATTTGCTGGACTTAAACATCAGTCTGTGTACGAACATTCCCCAAAGTTTCAGTTGTCTTGGTGGCTTTGCGTAAACTACTAAAAGTCACGTTCTTTCCAAAAAATATACTCAAACTCAAGTTATACGTGACAAGGAGTTTTCTCCGGTTCCTACAGTTTCCTCTCACTGCTAAAGACCACTACGCGCAATTGAATTATTGAAATAAAATTAAACCATATGTTAGTCCCGAAATGAACTAGTCTGTGTCGAGTGGACGATAAACCCCATTTCCTTCACTCTCTCTAACTGAAGTTTAAGTCCAGCAAATTTGTCCTTTGTAGGAATTAATAAAAATTTTATGGGTTCTGTTGGGGTTTTTTTTTAGGGGAGGGGGCACCCTGTACTTGAAAAATCTCATTTAAGAATCTTCTGGTTATGTTTAAAGCATGAATCTCGTTTTTTTTCCTGTAGGAAAAGCACAGATCTATGAAATTAACTTTAAAATGCAATAGATATGTTAAGATTTAGCTAAAATTTAAATTCAGAGCTGGTTGTTCTTGTTATAATAGTTAAAGATGCAAGATTTAGATAAAGAGCTGGTCGTTCTTGCTATAAAAGTTTAAAGATACATTATGTAAGATTTAGATAAAGAGCTGGTCGTTCTTGCTAAAATAGTTTAAAGATCCATTATGTAAGATTTTGCTGTAATAGTTTAAAAAAAGATAAATGAAAAATGAATATATTTAAAGTTTCAGTCAAACTACTGCATTCTGAGCAAAATTATGATTGTGTGAAGTTTAGACAAGAACAGCCTAGTCTCAATTATCATTGTTATGATAATTTTAACATTAACTGATTAAATGACGCAGATGTATCTAATCCATGAAATATCCAAGCCAACCGATGATCTAGAGAGATTTAATCGGATTAGTTTGTAATATTGCGATCTAAAGGACTTTCATGTGTTTATCTGCAGATGTATCTAATCTACGTAATATCCCAGCCAACCGATGATCTTGAGAGATTTAATTGGATTAGTTTGTAATATTGCGATCTAAAGGTTTTCATGTTTTTATCTGCTATATTTTTTATAAAATATATTAGTTATGAATATTATTACACAAAAATATGAATTTGTAAATTTATAATCAAATCTAGAATTGTTATGGTTGATCTGTGTTGAAATCTTTTTGATATGAAATAAAAGTTATTATTATTATTATTAATATTGTTGTTTATTTTGTTTGAGTATTCATATAATACGGGATGATGGCCCGAATGGTTAACGTGTGCATACTGTATCATACCCCCGCTTAAGCAGAAAATGCTCATCTTAGAAATACGTCTAGGCATTCACCACATAAACACCTACACAAAGTTTGAACATTCTAGTTCAATTAGAAGGATAGTCATTGTGTCCCAAAAAAGTGACAGGCAGACGAACAGATCAATTTTAATAGTCCTCTGCTTTCTTCGAATAAATCACCATAATAAAAAGGGAGATAGTTTCCTTGTTTTATTTGGGTTTTTTTAGGACATAATGCGGGATTGTTTTATAAAATAAATTATGACAACAATTAGATCTGTCATCAATCAATCAATCAATCTAACATCATTCACTCTGTCTTTATAACCCTATGTATAAATATGTCTATATTAACCATTGTGATATAATTACTAAGTCATGTCATGTGTCACTGTCACGTGTGACGTACTTAGAAATTTAATACATAACCTACATAATTTATCAGCTAGTCCTGTAAGATCTATATATAACACAGTATTAACTGACTCAACATGGGTTAGTGCTAAACGATAAGGTCAGCTCAAGTTTTCGTTATAGGTCACAAGATCTAAACAGGGCTAGTGCTAATCCCAACCCTAACCCTGGACCTAGCCCCCATGCTTACCCTAACCCTAACCTACAATCTCGCCATCAATCACATGCCCTAACCTTATTTACATCTCATAGATCTTGACAAAATTGAGCTGGCCTTAACAAATAGATTTAGCCAACTAAACATGTTGAAACCATTATTATAGATATTAATGCACAGATAAATTGTATGGAAATATTTCTTTTTTTTATCTTTTTTTAAAAAGTATTTACATGTTGAAACCATTAATAGCCTACAGATATTAATGCATAGATAATTTGTTTGGAAATATTTTTTTTTTTATCTTTTTAAAATATTTATATATTTGTGGAAAAAACACAAATGCACATCTGGTTTCTAATGTTGAAGACACGGAGGTTCTGGGTGTCCAAGACTATTGTTGAAGACAAGGAGGTTCTGGGTGTCCGAGACTAATGTTGAAGACAAGGAGGTTCTGGGTGTCCGAGACTAATGTTGAAGACAAGGAGGTTCTGGGTGTCCGAGACTCCTGCACAACATGTTATTAATCAGTTTTTAATAAAACAGCTGTAGTTTATGAACCAGGAAGCAACCAATGTCATCAGAATGTGACACTTTTATTATCACCATATGAAACAAAATGAAATGGTTTTAACGTTCTATTGTTCTGCTGCGAACTGGGCTAATTGAAGACGGGCATACGCCACACAGTGTGCTAGGAGGGAAATTTTGCCCAGACAGCGGCACTACGGCCTACTCTTATATCGAATTCCAACTGTCAAGGGATCTTTTAAGTGCACGCCAATGTGTACACGGGACCGCGGTTGTTCGTCCCATCCGAACGACTGGACAGCTGTCCTTATCAGGCCCTCCGTCCTGCATCACTGACAAGGGGAACCATGGCGGAAAGTCTGGATGAACTTTCTCGCAGGCCCGTAACTAGGGGGGCACAGGGTTTGCCCCCCCCTCAACCCCCCTGCAAAAAGGTTTTCCCCCCCCTCCCCCTGTGAAAAAATTGTTGACCATTAAAAAAATAGATATGCATTGTCAATTTTACAGCACTCCTGGGAACACTTCCCTCCCCCCCCCCACCATTGCTTTGAGCTAGTTACAGCCCAGCTTTTAGATCGGTTACCAGGCAACAAAACATACACCCACAGCAGCTAAGTCGTCGGGGCAGTCAACAAGGGTTGTCACATATTTTTACTTTTGTCAGTAATGAGAACATTTACAACACATGAAAATCTGATTAAGAGTAATAACCCATTATCAGAAAACATTAGAATTTGTTTTGATTGTATGTCTCATGACCTGAAAGTAGCTAAGTCTCTAACTCAATATCATCCAAAGTCTTCGACATTGAAAACACAAATTATTTGTCAAATTAAATCAACCTTGATATTGTGATCTTACCGAGAAAGGTGTGCTTCTGATATCCAATATATAAGACAAAATAAACATTTTACCATTGGTACACGAATCATGTACCATAATGCGTTTCTGCGCCATTTATAACAAGGGACTCCAAGAACGAGGCTAGACATATTCAACAAGTCACGTCAAACAGTGATGCCATATTCTTATCAGGAGAGCATGCGCAATAAATAGTATCGGTGTAGACTGGAATAACCAGACGCTAGAGATTGCCATTCGATTGAGACTTCTGGTGTATTTTGCCGAACATAACTAATTTGAAATTAGATTAAAAACAGAAACGACTGAATGTAAATCAGTTTATACACATTCATATTACATTATTATATGCGTTGTGACCCATTTATGTCAATTTCTAGATCCCAAATATTAGCGATTTAGCTCCTTTAAACAAGATTTTTCAAAGTGATCAAAGTGATGAAAAACGTCATCCCGAGAAGAAAATAACCCAAGTGTTTACCGGTAGTCCCCAACTTTATCTCAAAGGTTGGGTGGACATTAATTCTGTCAGAAAGAGAGAGAGATAAGTGGGTTTAACATCCACTCCACACAACCTAGGCCATCTTGGGACTAACATGTGGTTTGAGTTGACAGAAAAAGACAGGCAGTACCTGGAGCAAACCAACACGGTTGGACAGTTCTTGTCTCAAACTGGGTTGGAATAGAAACTACTCCATTCATGGACAGACAATATAATCTAAGATAGGTTGCCAGGCAACGAAACATACGCCCACAGCATCTAAATCGTCCGGGCAGTCAACAAGAGTTGTCGAATATTTTTACTTTTTTCGGTAATGAAACATTTATAATACAGTAAAATCTGATTAAGAGTAACAACTCATTAAGTAATTATCAGAAAACCATTAGAATTTGTTTGGTTTTTATAAAGTTTTGCCCTAATACCTTAAACGCTGTGTATGAATCTGAAGTCAATCGGATGATAACTTTAGCTTCTAGAGTGTCACAAGATTTTTCAAAGTGAACAAGGGCCATAACTTTGGCAGTAATTATCGGAAATCGTTGAAAATGAATATGATTCTTCGTCCCATGACCTTAGACACTGTGTATAAATTTAAAGTCAATCGGATATTAACTTTAGCCTCTAGAGCTTGTGGACGCCGGACCGACGGACGGGGGCGACGACAATATACGACCACATTTCAATGTGGGCGTATAAAAATGGACAAGTTAGACCATTCCCTCCCCCTTTGCAATCCTGGCCACTACCACAAAATTTTGCTGGTCCAGGCTAGGGGCTACCACCAAATTTTCCTGTCAAGACTTGGGGCTACATGTACCTCTGACTACCACAGAACTTCCCTGGTTCAGACTAGGAACCACCACAGAACTCCCTTCATCCAGGCTAGGAACTACCTGACTACCACAGAACTCCCTGATCCAGGCTAGGGACTACCGGACTACCATAGAACGCCCCTGATCCAGGCTAGGGACTACCACAGAATGCCCCTGATCCAGGCAAGGGATTACCACAGAACGCCCCTCATCCAGGCAAGGGATTACCACAGAACTCCCTGGATCCAAGCAAGGGACAACCTGAATAAACCTAGAGATGAATTTATATAAACTTTGGTTTGTTTATCAAATCTGCTATATCAGTATTGTACATACTCATGTTTAAACCAACTTGACAACCACAGGACAAAGAGAATGGTAACCATGGAAACAGATAGTAATTTATTATATTTAATATAACATCAGGATGAATATATATACAAATCATATTGTTTATAAACAACTGAACAAGATATTTTAATAATATACATTATGTACATTGTTTGTATATCAGATTTTTATATATACACAGTAATACACGCAAACATACAATCGTTAACATGTCCATAATCTTGTTGTTTATTTATGATTACATTGTCACTTTGTAAAGTGCCCATGAACATGTTATATGAAAGGGCGCACTATAAATATGCTGTAATAATAATAATAATAATAACTCTTAATTGACGGATACCTCTTATACAGGGCTGGATTTATTCATACGTACAATAAACAGAACATAACCACTCAGCAAACCTCAGCAGATTCCAGTACCCTACCTCTAGCCTCGGCTGTATGACTAAGTCCGCCATTGGAACGAACTACTTTCAAGTTCCCGGAATACCAACGGCATCACCCATGACGACGCCTTTGAAGAATGTTTTATCATACAAAGCTTTCAAAGTATGAAGCTGTTTTTCTTTCAAGTTTATCCGATTTTCTTTAAACAAAAGACAGCTTTGCAATGAAAATTCTACATACTCTTCGAACGACGCAATTTCGAGAACTTCTTTCTAAAAGCGGCAAGTTTTCCTTATAAGTAAACCGGTAGCCGCATTGCAATTGTATGGGTGTAGATACATATCACTGACCGTCATACAGCTGAGGTTAGATGTAGAGTAACGGAATCTGCTGAGGTTTGTCAAGTGAGGGCATAACAATACAGGCCCAAAGTTCACAAAGCATTCTCGCACTTGAGTTAATTTTAACTAAGGCCAACAAAATATAGCCCTTTATAAAACTTTTGTTGTTTTAATGTATCAAATACATCAATAAGAAACTATGTGCAAAGCTGTATGTTTCTAGATCAAAGACATTTCTCATAAACAGTGGTTGAAAGTTGAGTAAATTCTTAAAGTCTGAGAATGCTTTGTGAACTTGAGGCCAGATATAATGTCATAATCCTTTGAGGATGACGTACCAGTATTTCCAATACCATTAGTTAAGAATTAAGAGTTTTCAAACATTATATTTGAGAAATGTGCAGTTTTGTAAGGTTCAATAATTTTTTAGATGACCACAATTTTTTTTTTGAACTCCAAGGCTGGATGGGGTTGATAATAATAGTATATATCACCCAATAACACATTCTACAGTAAATATTGCTTGTGTCAAAAATATATAATCTACCGAGCGATGAATTTGATTGGTCAATTAAAAAGGAACTATTTTTTTTTATTAAAAAGGTACTACTTTTTGGATCCAGTTATTTTCAAATAATAAACGCTGCACAGTTCTCAGATAATCAATTTGAAAATAAATCATTTCGGATAAATCAAATTTTTTATATTGATCGATCTTTAAGAATATTTTGTTTACAATAAAATTTGAAATCTAGTTTTTATCAATAAAATTTAGTAAATAAATACGTTAAACACAATAGTTGTATGGAGAAAAATTTACTGTATCTTAATGGGAGATCCACATTTTGGGACTAACACATTGTTCATTTTTATTTCAATAATTATTTCAGGGGCAGCAGTGGGAGGAAACCGGAGGAGCCGGATAAAAAACCACAAAGTTGGACTGGCGACCCTACTCCTTGTCTTGACAACTGTGGAATCATAACCACGCCATTTGAAGCGTTAATCATTCGGCCCCCACCCCCGCACCCCACCCTCCGTACAACTCTTGTGTTTAATCTTGATACATTTAAAAACAGACATCAGTTTCTTGAAGACAATTACAGTAAATGATGGAACATCCCTGGACAGCCTGTTAGATCTTGAAGACAATTACAGTAAATGATGGAACATACCTGGATAGCCTGTAACCATGGTTACTTAGATCAACTCAAACCACTTGAAATATGTAAATAACACTCTTGTCTGTATTAAATGATCCTATACTATTTTTTTAGGGGCAGCACATAAATTGACAAGACACAGGTGGTTTGAGGGCAGTCTAAGGAGCTCTACTTACAGGCTGTCCAAGTGCTAATTAATTGGTAAAGCACTGTCAATATTTTAAGTGGCATGATTCATAGCACTGATAGTTTAAAGACACATTATGTAAGAACTAAATCTGCCTACGGCAGGTCTTTATTCTGGCTTCTAAAGTTATATAAACTATTATTTAAAGATTTGATTTATTGTCCTGACAAGCCAATCTGATTAAAATACAGATCTATATTTCGTTTCGTTTTTTTATACTTTCGATGGCCTACACTACATGAAGATCTGACAAGTTATAGCGATAGGTCACGTCAGGGGTCAAAAGACCGACTTTTGACCTATGACGTCAGACATTTGATTAATCAATCAGCACTGATGTTACTAGTGAATTACCCACAGTTCCGGGCAAAAAAGGTCAAACACTCGATTCGGCAGACCATTTGATTGGCTGACCCCTCATTTCAAGCAGAACATGAGTTAAATAACAAGTCTTTCAGATCCAAGTGTAGTAAAGACAAGTAAAACGAAATTTTGAACTATAAAAACGAAACTAAATAGGATCTGTGTTTTAACCAGATTGATAATCAACTCTCTAGATCATTGGATGGTTGAGATAATAAATGGATTAGAACTTAAATGTTAAAATGGATAATCAACACTATGTTTATTATCGTAGCAGTGGTTCGAGATAATTGAGATTATCTACGTTATTTCTTGTCAAAACTTCAAATACTCATAACTTTGCTCAGAATAAAGTAATCTGACTGAAATTTTCAATATATTTATTTTTCATTACCTATTTTTGAACTATTATAGCAAGAACGAACAGCTCTTTACCTAAATCTTACATAATGTATCTTTAAGACAAATGAACAAGTTTTTCTAGGACATTTTACTAATGATTGCAAGTTGCAGATTATTCAATTGGTTTGACCATTTATCTAAAGCATTATAACGATCTATTCCAGTTGTTTCCTTACTTAACTCTAAAACTTGGTTCACTTGATCTATTCGTCCATTTATCGTACTGAAAAGCAATACAACCTCATATTTACACAACAAATAAAGAAATGAAATGAAATGGGGTTTAACGTCCTACTGTTCTGTTCCTAAACTGGGCTAATTAAGACGGGCATACGACATGCAGTGTGCTATGAAGGAAATTTTTCCCGGGCAGCGGCGCTACAGCTAACTCTTATATCGAATTCCAACTGCCAAGGAATTTTTTACATGAACGCCAATGTGTATACGGGATCTTGGTTTTTCATCCCATCCGAACGACTAGACAGCTGTCCTTGTCAGGCCCTTCCGTCCTGCATCACTGACAAGGGGAAACCACGCAAGAAAATCTGGATGGACTTTCTCGGTCAATGCAGGTATCGAACACCTGACCCCAGGCTAGCGAGCCAGAGTCTTACCCACTTAGCCACTGTGATCCCCCAGAAATGAAGAAATAAAGCCTACTTCTCTGCTCCGAATGGAGAGAGAGAAATGGTGTTTAACTTTCACTTGACACAAACTAGTTCATTTTGGGACTAACTTATGGTTCAGTTTTATTTGAATAATGCACATGCACGTAGAGGTCTTTTGCAGTGGGAGGAAACCTGAGTACCCGGAAAAAAGAGTCCATTCGCATCACAGCTCGACTTGAACAACTCCTGGTATGGAAACGATTGTACCTTTTTTTTCTTTCATTAGTAAAATTATTAATTAAACTATTTCTAAAATTATCTATTTGTAAAATTAATATATTTAACCATTTGTAAAATTATGAATCAAACTATTTGTAAAATTAATAAATTAAACAATTTGTACTAACCTATCTAAAATACAAGATACCAGTAAATTCTCTACTTCAATAGCCTCAATATTCAATTCCTATAGAAAAATAATAATAATAATAACAATATTTATTTATTATCGTCAACTTCAATTACTTGGTTGTACTTCTCAAAAGATTTCAGTTACAAATTTTTATGTTTTGAAATTTTCAACAAAACATAATTACCGCAACTGGAGTGGTGATTTATTCCTCAAGATCCTGAATAACAAACAATTAAATTGGTCTGGCCTGATAACAAATAGTATGTGGCTGTCAATATCGTTATATAAATAGTATATGACTGTCACTACCGTTATATATATAGTATGACTGTCACTACCATTATATCAATAGTATGACTGTCACTACCATTGTATCAATAGTATGACTGTCACTACCATTATATCAATAGTATGACTGTCACTATCACTACCATTATATCAATAGTATGACTGTCACTACCATTATATCAATAGTATGACTGTCACTACCATTATATCAATAGTATGACTGTCACTACCATTATATAAATAGTATGACTGTCACTACCATTATATCAATAGTATGACTGTCACTACCATTATATCAATAGTATGACTGTCACTACCATTATATAAATAGTATGACTGTCACTACCATTATATCAATAGTATGACTGTCACTACTGTTATATAAATAGTATGTGACTGTCACTACCATTATATCAATAGTATGACTGTCACTACCATTATATCAATAGTATGACTGTCACTACCATTATATCAATAGTATGACTGTCACTACCATTATATAAATAGTATGACTGTCACTACCATTATATAAATAGTATGACTGTCACTACCGTTATATATATAGTATGACTGTCACTACCGTTATATATATAGTATGACTGTCACTACCATTATATAAATAGTATGACTGTCACTACCATTATATAAATAGTATGACTGTCACTACCATTATATAAATAGTATGACTGTCACTACCGTTATATATATAGTATGACTGTCACTACCGTTATATATATAGTATGACTGTCACTACCATTATATATATAGTATGACTGTCACTACCATTATATCAATAGTATGACTGTCACTACCATTATATCAATAGTATGACTGTCACTACCATTATATAAATAGTATGACTGTCACTACTGTTATATAAATAGTATGTGACTGTCACCCGTTATATAAATACTATGTGGTTAGATATACAAACCTTTGATATAAATGGTATGTGAATACGTGTATAAGGCTTAATAAGTTTAATAAGAACTTGTGTTCTAATATTCCGTAACAAATCTGGAATAAAATAAAAATAACAAGATGAGAGAGATAGAAGAAATGAGGTTTAACGTCAACTCAACACAAACTAGGTCATTTCGGGACTAACATATGGTTTAATTTCATTTCAATAATTCGCTTGTACGTAGGGGTCTTTAGCAGTGGAGGAAACCGGAAGACAAGGAGAAACCCCACAAGGTTGGACAGGCGACCCTACTCCTTGTCACCTACAACCGGGGATTAGAAACTAATCCCAGTCGATTGAATGACAGACCTTATGATACAACGTGCACGCGCTGAACCATTTGGTCATCCAACTCCCACTCAAATAATGATCTGAGTCCTTTAATTTCGTGTTATGAGTTAAATTACCTTCAATATGTTCTCTAATAAAAGGATCTTCCATAATATTTCTTTTGTTGGTTTTTAAAATCTTTTCAAATTCATTTATATCGTCATTTTGATAGGCACTGAAATATACAATTAGCATAGTCATATTTTTCACGATTTTATGAGAGAGCGATATTTGACGTATTGCACGTTGAGGAGAGATTTTTTTCAGCTCCACAACCATACACAGAAAAAATGACTGTAGAAACAGCTAACACAATAATCCTTCCACACAAAGAGAGAGGGGTCATTTCGAGACTAACAGTAGTTATTAAGTAGGTGTTTTGTCACCTGTGATTATTGAATGATATACATCACTATTGCACAGGTTTGTGTATTCAATATAAATAGTCATGTTTTTACACCAGTAGTGACATCTTTTACAGCTCGTTACACACCTGCTAATTAATGACTATTGTATAATTTCTAACCACTTTCTATACATACTAAACACTAGTTTAGAATACTGACCACTTATATGATTTAATGATAAAAATTGTCATTACTAAACGGGATAGCTTCATTAGTCAACGGTATCAGCTTACCAGTGATCCTTGTCATGTGGGGAATCAAACCCACGCCATTTGACTCAATGACAGACCTTATGATTTAAAGAGTATGAGTTGGACCACTCGTCCAACCAACCCACCGAGAAAGGTTGGAAGACATTGACATAAATAGCTGACTGTTTACATTCATTGGGAGAAAGAGAGAGATGGGGTTTAACATCCACTCGATAAAAACTAGGTCATTTCAGGACTAACATATGGTTCAATTTTATTTCAATAATTCGCTTCCACATAGCAATGGGAGGAAACCGGAGGACCCAGAGAAAACCCATGAAGTTGGACAGACAACCCTATTCCTTGTCACGTACAACCAGAGAATGGAAACCACGCCACTTAACTCAACGACAGACCTTATGATACAACGCGCAACTGCTAACCATTCGGCCATCCAACCCTGCTACATTCATTGAAGTCATCAGTAAAATTTCAAAATTTTTTCATCAAATATCCTCCACTTACCTGACAAGATTTGTCATCGCCAGAATCTCAGGATCATTTTTATACGGTTTTGTTTCTTGAGAATCAAATGGATTTATACCAGATTTCATTAGCATGTTGGCTAATACTAAATATTTCAAACATGTTGTTCTCCTGAAAAAACAAGATAGGTTGCAGGCAAGGAAAATGTATGCCCAGAAATGTGGGCGTATAAAAATTAGTTATTTGGTTGACAGGCAATGAAGCATACATATTGTCGTCGACCCTGTCCGATTGACTTTAAATTTAACACAGTGTTTAAGGTCATGAGAAGAAGAAGCCTATTGATTTTCAACGATTTCCGATAATTACTGAGCTTTCCACAAGGGTTGTCATATTTTTGGAGGGTAAAGAAAGCATTTACAGGACACTACAATTTGATTAAGAGTAACTCATGAGTAATTATCGGAAATCATCATTAGAATTTGTTTGGCTTGTAGTTTTGCCCCTAGTATACAATTAGTTGCTGGCATGATATATTGCCGAATCGTGATTCACCATCTCACGGTTCATGTATTGAATCACAAGATACTGAATCGATGTATCTCGATTCTTGTTTATGTTCATTTTATAGCTTCAGTAAGTAACCTGTCACTCTTAATTATCCATGTCACACATCCATAGGTACACAAACAATTGTGGTTGAGGACAAACAACCGACCATTTACAACCACATTTGATTGTGGGCGTATAAACTTTTTTCTAAAACAATATTATTAGAGGCCTTATTCACCTAAACTTAATTATTTGAAAAATACAGGCTTTTTATTTTTTAAGAGCTAAAAGTCTCAATTCCTAGTATAAGATATTATTTGCCTCCAATAACAATCATCATTTTTTGTTTTTACTTAGAACTAATATAAACAAACATCTAGCACTCCTAATATAACTAAAATTCTGAAAATGCCTAGCCAATTATTACCATGAATACAGGAATAGTCTAAATTTTCAAATTTTTATAAACCACAGGCTTTTTCAACAAGTGCACAACTATTGTTTTAGCTATAATTAGTAATCAAGATGTCAGAATACAGTAATCTTCCTTCTTTGAGATCAGAATTCAATTTCCAAACTCTGGGGCCTTTTTCATGAAAAAATATTTTAAGAATGAGTATGGTATCGATACTACGTATTGACAGAATGTTTGCCAATGCCATCGCCAAAATTCCGTGGAGTGGACAGATGAATTCATGGATTATTAGGCCGTTATTTCAAATTCTTAAATATTTTTTGTTTTTCTTATTAAGAGTTGAATAAATATTAAATCTATAATAATTTTTTGTTTCTTAAAAATGAAAAACTAGCGAGATCTAGATCTTGACCCCACCTACCCACCCCTGCATCAATATTTTTTAAAGGATCATCTGAGAGTCAGAATATTTTTTGTGTTTAAAAGATCAAAGGATATTTAATCAATCTATCTACCTGAGAATGTAACTTACCTTGGGCTTCCCGTCTACCTGAGAATGTAACTTACCTTGGGCTTCCTGTCTACCTGAGAATGTAACTTACCTGGGGCTTCCTGTCTACCTGAGAATGTAACTTACCTGGGGCTTCCTGTCTAATTGAGAATGTAACTTACCTGGGGCTTCCTGATTCATCGTAATTTTTAAATGCTTCAAAGAAATCAGTATGCGCTTTTTCATACTCTCCTTCTCGCAAATGCATTTTTCCACCACACTCTGAAATTAATTCACACAATTTAAAGTGCCAGAACATTATCAAATTAATTGTCCTATTTGTGAAATGAAATGTAGGTTTAACGTCCTACTGTTCTGCTCCGACTGGGCGAATGAAGATGGGCATACGCCATGCAATGTGCTATGAGGAAAAGTTTTGTCTGGACAGCAGTGTCAAGAGTTCTTTTACGTGCACTCAAATGTATACCCAGGACCTCTGTTTTTGATCCCATCCGACAGACGATGCATTGTCAATTGCCAGACCCTTCATCCCACACCACTGAGAGGGGGGGGGGGGAGGGAACCATGCCCGAAAATCCTGATGAAATTTCTCAGCCGAAACAGGGATCAAACATGGGACTTACAGGTAAGGGAGCCAACATCTTACTCACTGAACCACCATGGCTCCTGTTAAAACCAAAGCTTGAGTTTGTGTCTGACAATGTTGATATTAAGATATTATCACCTACCTCTTATAACACCCATGATCAACGGATGTGGAATAGCTGATTTAATATACAGAGACTGTTCATATAAAGCCTATAAATATATATAACATATATAAGTTAATTTACATATATATTATCTATATAAATAAAATCATATATCAGTAAATTACATACATATTATCTATACAAATAAAATCAAAGTGTGTTATTTATTTACGTGTCTGTGTGGGCACCCATCACATCCATATTGGGGATGCTCGATTCACAGTCCAGAACGTCCCGAATTGACAGAATTGCAATCGAGTGACGCAGTATTCAGTCCTGTCACAGTTCTGTCAGTCCCGACGACGGAGGTGGTGTGAGTAGAATTTTGACGTAATTAAACACAACCAACGGGTTTCGGCTGCATGGTTGAATGAGATATCCAGTCGACGCATGCGTTGTAGACCAAAGTACCCATTTTCACTATTTTTGGGATTGAGAGAATTCAATTCCGGAAAGTTCAATCGAGTATGCCCATTATCTATAAATATTAAGCAATTCAAAGAGAGAGAGAGAGAGAGAGAGAGAGAAAGAGAGAGAGAGAGAGAGAGAGAGAGAGGGTTATTTTGGGACTAACATATGGTTAAATTTTATTTCAACAATTCACTTAGATGATTTATGGTGATTTTAAACAATTTTTACGGATTTTTGAAACAAAGATTTGATATTGAATGAATGTGAAAGAAATTAGAGCTAGAGGGGTAATAGTTATAGTTTTAAAAAATAAGATTTCAACTTTACTAGTATTGCTGTTCACAAAATAAATACTCAAGAGAGAATACTCTATTAGTTACCTTAAAGATACATTCCCAGGTACAAACTGGTTGATTTGATGATATATTTGGACTAAAACATATTCAAACTAATTAATTTATCATAATTTTGCTTCAAATCCTTCTTAAATCATTGCAATTGTCGGGGCATACCCAGGCTATAAAAAATCGATCAAAAGAGGTCATGTTTGTGTCACGTGACTTACCTCTCTCAGTACGGTACCTAGCAACGCAAGTGAAGTCGGAGGAGATTTCATTGCATACACAAGACAATGTTGTCTTTAATAGCTGACTATTTATTACAAATATCGAAGCCTAATAAAATTTTTAGATTATAGACTGCCCGCGTCTTTTTCCGTGAATTTTATCTCAGAAAGTGTTGTACGTCTAATTCTTCATAAAGGTTATCAAAATGTACATCAAGCGCTCAATCTCTGCGTGCAACCTTCGACGTCACGCTTGCAGACTCTCCTAATCGTCGGGCTGCTGATTAGGGAAACCCTTACATTTTTGTCCTGTATACGCTCCATGAGTGTTTTTCAGGGAATCCAGTATTTTTCTAGTAAGATTGGATATTTCTACTTTCCATATATACCAAAATTGCCATATTTTTATTGGAAATAACCACCCAATAAATACTTTTCTGGGAACGTAGCTTTAAAGGGACTATCCCGATTTGAACAGAGTCTCAAAAAGAAAAGTCCTAGTTCGTATGAAATTTAAGCGCCAAAATATAGCTGAATGGTGTATTTACCCTGCCTCAAAATTTCAGCGTGAACGTCAAAAATGCTTATCCGGACACGTAACCCTTTTAAGATTTCTGGTCAATTTTTTCGTTGGGTGACCTGATAATCTATCGCCGTTCCTTTAGAGGTCTATACAGTGAATGACCCATGCGCCGTACTGGATAACTAAAGATAAATTCCACCTACACATTGTTTTTATAAAATAAAAGTCTGGTTTTATCCAGACACCGCAAAATACAGCTTGGGACACCGGTCTCCATTTCCAGATGAAGACTGACGGGTCTAAGTTGTTTGAAAACATATCACAAATATTGAATTAGTTGCTCAGCCCTTAGGTACGGGATATTAAGGAGTTTTAACACAAAATTAAGCAGTTTTATTCTCCAAAATATTATCGGGATTGGCCCTTTAAAATAAAGACAACATGATACACCTTAATGATCAAGTGCGTATTACGAAGGGGATGTTTGCCTGGATATTTACGTGCTGCCCAATATGTACACTAATTAAACTATAGGTTTTTCGTCTCTTCTGAACGACCAGGCATACTTTAGGTTCCCGCATACCCTTTTACATGCACGACAACATGTACAGTTATTGATCTAGTAAAAAAAAAGAAAAAAAAGGAGTAAAAACCTTCAACTTTTTGTTATTTTTCTGTGCTGTATACATCTGGATTTCTAAAGCGTATATTTCTAAAAGTTGTGTTCCTTTCTTCAGATCATCTTCTCCTTCATCTGTCTGTAAATCATAAAAAAAATCTAATTTAAAAAATAAATAGGTTGCCAGGAAACGAAAAATACGCCCACAGCAGCTAAATCGTGCGAGCCTTTGACAATCGTTATCTCACTTTTTTTTTTTTGCAGGTAATTGGGGACATTTACAAGACAGTTTCATACAGATCAGATTATAATTTTTGTCGTTTGAGGGTTCACAAGGTTCTACAAACTGAAACAAGGGCCTTAACTCTGGAAGCAATTCTTCAGATCATCTTCTCCTTCATCTGTCAAAAAATCTAATTTAGAAACGTCTCGTACAACTGGGGAATCGAGACCACGCCAGTTGACTCAATGACAGAAAATGAAATGGGGTTTAACGTCCTACTGTTCTTCTCTTACTGGGCTAATGGAGACAGACATACTCCATATAGTGTGCTATGAGGGACATTTTGCCCGAGCAGCGGCGCTGCAGCCTACTCTTATATCAAATTCCAACTGCAAAGAGATCTTTTACCTGCATGCCAATGTGTAGACGGCACCTTGGTTTCTTATCCCATCCGAATGACTAGACAGCTGACTTTGTTAGACCCTCTGTCCTGCACCACTGACAAGGGGGAAACCACGTCGGAAAATCCCAATGAACTTTCTCGACGAATGCAGAGATCAAACACACAATCTCCAGGCTAGCGAGCCAGTGTCTTACCCACCGTGGCTCCCGATTCAATTGTGAAACCACATTCATTTTATATATCGTCGGTGAAGTGGCAAAAGGGTGTATCTTGGGAAATTAGTCAAATACACTTTTTTTTTACATTTTTAAACTCTCCCAATTGATATGCACATTTCTGTCTAAGCTGTGTATCTTTACCCCAATTAGAACTGTTCTGGGTATCATGTGTCCAAATGTTGTATCTTGTGGAAGTTTTGAAATGCAAATGGTTCTTTTTCTTAATCTTTAGAAATTCTTAGGTACACCCTTTTGACACTTCACCAACGATATGGTACCACATTCATTTTATATCTGGAACCAGATTCATTTTATATATGGAACCAGATTAATGAAAATCGCAGAATTACCTGACAGGATTGGTGAAGTTGTTTTAATATTTTCTGTAATTTGGTATAGTCACCACGGTCATAATATAATTTACCAAGTTTTGTGTTAGTTTTAAACCATAATCTTTCATTTTTAGCTTCTTTCAAAGCATCTAACGTTGTCTCATAAAAATTCTGTAATAATTCCATCTGTAAAACGAGAAAAATGTAAATATATTTCCGTTCTAGAAAATATAACAAAATCCTAATAAAGGTGTTTGTGACTTAAGGGGAGACAACCGCCCTTTAGAAAAGTGACTATTCAATAACAAAGATAGATTGCCATACATGCAGCTAAATCATCCGAGTCATGGGCAAGGGTTGTCGCATATTTATTCTTTTGTTGATAATGGGTGCATTTACAAGACACTGAGTGAAAGTGAAACAAAGGCTATAACTCTAGAAGTTATATAGGAAAATGTTGAAATTCATTTTACTGATATAAATATTGTATACAGATCAACAGAGCATTCACAGAGTTCGACAAAGTGAAACAAGGGTCATAACTCTAGAAATTATATACAGAAATTGTTGAAATTCAATATATTTTCAATTTGGTTTTTTATTTTTTAACAGTGATCAAGAAATTAAACGCTTGTAAATTGGACACTTATTCTCAAAATTAATAAGTCAGCTTTCAACTGGACACCAGGTACAAATTAGATAATTTTGGGTGATTTTAAATGACCTTTACAAATTTTTAAATAAAGATTTGATATTAAATGAATGTGAAAGAAATTAGGGCTAAATACACAAGATTAAATGAATGTAAAAAAAATTAGTGCAAGATATACAAGTTTAAATGATATCCAGGTTACAGTGTTATAGACCCTTTGTTCTACTTGCTTTGTGGATGGAAATATTGGTCTTTTGTTCTACTTGTTTTGTTGACAGAAATATAGGCCTTTTGTTCTACTTGTTTTGCGGACTGAATTATAGGCCTTTTGTTTTACCTGTTCCATCAGACTGAATTATACGCCTTTTGTTCTACCTGCTTTGTGGACTTAAACATAGGCCTTTTACCTGTTTTATGGGACTGAATAATTAATAAACCTATTGTTTTACCTGTTTAATAAGACTGAATAATTAATAAACGTATTGTTCTACCTGTTTAGAAGTCGATATATAATCTAGAATAGAGTTGATAGATTTTTCCGAGTAATTTCTCGTCACCGCTGATTTTATATACAATAATAACTGTTTATATCTCGCCATCATTTCATCATAATTATTCTGAAATAGAAAATAAAACATAGTTACCTCCCTTTAGTTGAAATACATCACAGGGATACTCGACTGAACGTTCCTAAATTGAATTCTCCCAATCTCAAAAACAGTGACAATCAAGTGAAATGGTGGATTTCGGGTTACAACGCATTCACCGACTGCATAAGAAAATGTTTCAACCAACCATGACAGCTGAAACATACGTAGTGTTTAATTACGTCACGATTCAACTCGCACCAACTCCATTGTCGGGATTGACAGAACTGTGACAAGACTGAATTCCACATCCCATGATTGTAATTCTATCAATTCTGTCAAGGGATCTTTTACGTGCACGTCAATGTGTACACAGGACCTCAGTTTTCAGTATCATCCGAATGACTAGACAGTTGTTCTTGTCAGGCCCTCCGACTTGCATTACTGACAAGGGGGAACCACGCGTGAAAATCTGGATGAACTTTCTCTGCCAATGCAGGGATCGAACACCCGACCTCCAGGCTAGCGAGCCAGCGTCTTACCCACTTAGCCACCGTGATCCCCAAAAATTGAATATATAAATACCAATTTAAAGTTTATCTTGATCATCTGTTTCAATGCTTTAAATCCCCATTCTCCCTTCTCTTTAGCTTCCAACTCTAACACCTGAAACAACACACAAAACACTTCATTTCATTTCATCTATACACATTCTCACTTCTCTTTTGTACATAATTCAAAAGATAGGTTGCCAGGCAAGAAACATAACCCGCAGCAGCTAAGTTGTCCGAGCAGTCAACCAAGGTTGTTGCATATATTTTCTTTTGTCGGTAATGAAAACATTTTACAAGACACTAAAATCTGATTAAGAGTATCAGAGGGAGAGAGAAATGGGGTTTAACGTCCACTCGACACAAACTAGGTCATTTCGGGACTAACATATGGTTTAATTTTATTTACATAATTCGCTTGCGCGTAGGGGTCTTTAGCAGTGGGAGGAAACCGGAGGACCCGGAGAAAACCCACATGGTTGGACAGGCGACCCTATTCCTTGTCACGTACAACCGTGGATTTGAAACCACGCCAGTCGACTCAGTGACAGACTTTATGATACAGCGCGCGCACGCTAACCATTCAGCCATCCCCCCCCCCCCCCTGATTAAGAGTATCAACCCATTAAGTAATTTGTTTAGCTTCTAGTTCTACCACCATACTAATGTATAGTATATAAAACATCTAATATCGTGAAATTAGCTGTTTGATTTATCGGAAATCATTCAAAATCAATAGACTTCATATCTCATGACCTTAAACGTGAAATGAAATGAAATTTAACGTCCTACTGTTCTGCTCATAAACTAGGCTAATGAAGACGGGTATACGCCATACAGTGTGCTATGAGGAAAATTTTGCCCGGGCAGCGGCACTATCGCCTACTTTTATATCGAATTCCAACTGCCAAGGGATCTTTTATCCGCATTCCAATGTATACGCAGGACCTCGTTTTTTTTGTCTCATCCGAAGGACTAGACAGCTGTCCTTGTCAGGCCCCCCGTCCTGCATCACTGACAAGGGGGGGGCCACGCCGGAAAATCTGGATGAACTTTTTCTGCCAGTGCAGGGATCGAACACCCGAACTTCAGGCTAGCGAGCCAGCGTCTTACCCACTTAGCCAAGTGATACCCAAGGACCTTAAACACTGTATATACATTTAAAGTCAACAGATCATAACCTTGGTCTGTAGAGCGTTCACAACATTTTTCAAAGTGATCAAGGACTATAACTCTGACAATAATTATCAGAAATCGTTGACAACCAATACCTTAAACACTGTGTATGTATACATTTAAAGTTAATCTGATTTTAACTATAGCTCCTAGAGTGTCCACAATTCTGGACCGACAGATATGGGTGGCGACAATATGTGACCACATTTCAATGTAGGCGTATAAAAAGTATTCCTTGAAGTATCTCAAATTGTGTATCACTTGATCTGGATTATACATGTAATTGTATCAATTTGGAAAAAGAAATGAAATGGGGTTTAGCGTCCTACTGTTCTGCTCTTATCGGCTAACACCAGGATCGAACGTTTGACCAAATATATAACAGGATCGAACGTTTGACCAAATATATAACAAACCTTTTGAAAACTTTCAAGAGCTGCTTTTGGATCATCATCTTTGAGAGCTTTTGAGTTGTAGTACTGATTCTCTAAATCTACGTCTGGTTCAGAATTACTCTCCTCTGAGTATTCCTGGAAATGAGAACATCAATATTGATGAGGTTCAGAGAAATGAAATGAAATGGGTTTAATGTGCTACTGCTCTGACGTGGCTAATGAAGACAGGCATACATGTATGTCATACAATGTGCAATGCACGCTATTCATGGAATTTTGCCCAGACAGCGGAACTACAGCCTACTCACATATTTTTGACGTCAATGAAAATAAATCTCAATTTGGAAAAACGGAATTATTCAACATTTTTTGGCATTCATGTTTAATGTGACTCCCATTTTTGTGTTATAGGTTTTAATCTTAAATACCTGACCCTAACCCTAATAGAAATGTGACTCCCATTTTTGTGTTATAGGTTTTAATCTTAAATACCTGACCCTAACCCTAATAGAAAGTAGGATGTTCCATGTAGACACAGAACAGACGGCTAACCACTAGCTTTTTGGTGTAACAGTTAAAAGTGATGGAAATAGTTATAGAAATGGGAGTTACTACACTTGTAACGTTAAACTGTGTGTTTAACGTTACAATTTATACAGTCTAAGAATCCTTACGCAAGTTCAAATAGGTTCAAACGCACAATTGTCAACACATATCATAACAGTTTGTATTGGAATAAGTAATTCTATGACAAATAGTGAAGACTGGACCACTAAACAGTTACCGAACAGTTTTTCTTTGTGGTTATGCGTTCCACATTTGCATAGTGATGTTTCTTGTGAAGACGTATTACACACAAGCTGCCATGGCGGCCATGACACCAGCCTGTTGAAATTTCAAGTAGCAGTTGAGTTTCATCAAATCATATAATTATGCGGTAAGGCTTCACCTTTATTTCAATAGGAATTGATTTATTATATGTTAAGCTAGGTGCAGTACTGTTTTGGGTTAGTTTATGTGTAATTCACTAAAAAACTTGCGCAAAGGAACTCCGTAAGGACGAGCCACTACTGTGGCTGGAGTAAGGCGGAAGACATCAGTAATACTAGTAGTACCATTTCTAGGATTAAACATGATCGCCCATTTTTTGCATCATTGTTATGCAGTAACAATAACATCAGCTTCGAATTACTAATGTCTGTTACATTTTGTAAAATTTGTTTTCAAGAAGCCAGACGTTTGAATGAGTTTGCCAGTTTGACGACTTTCGATGGTCGCTAGAAACAAAATACATCCGGCAGACTGACTTACGCAAACCGACGTTTTTAGGGGTTTCCCGTTTTTAGCAAGTTTTCGTAGCTGATATTTGCCGCGACTGATCCGTGTCTCAACCTAAAATTCATCGCATATTTACATTAAATACGTTAGATTATATGTAGAATGGATTTTTTAATCTCTAATCAAGAAATGCCAGAGCAATTACCAAATCATATTCTTCATCCTCGCACATGAATTCTTCGTCCGACATTTTGTTAATTTTGATGTCAACCAAATTTTCAACTCTAACATAAGAGAAACGAATTAATACATAAAGATGCTTAAATAATTTGACGCAAAAGTAGTATTTTGTTATCCAAAAAGAAATATCCTTGTAAATAATTGATCAATATTTATATCATTTTTTTTTACAGAACGTCTAAACCCAAAATTCGTCAATCCGTATTTTATATTTCACCCTAACCGGAAATGCTTATGCCAAAATGGTGAGTTGTGCATGAAAATAATTAACCAGATTTTTTTTCCCAAATAAACGCAATTTTTCTGCTTATTATTAAATGATGTATCGATTACACAACTCAATCTTAACTAATATATATTTTTGGTTATTTTAGGCGGACTTTATGAAAGGTTTGCCTTCCTACAATGAGACAAATTTTACACGATTCCATTCCGACTCCTCCTGCAAAACCAGTGTAAGTAAACTTTTCTGTAAAGTAGTTTAAGAATAAACAGTTTAGGTAATGGTAAATTAATATGAAATAGCTCTCATTCTTCTGCAGTTAGAAAAACAAGACTGCAATAAATTACCACTTTTGTAATGTGACGTCTTTCGAAATCGGAAACCTTTGCTTTGCACAGTTTGACAAGTAGGGCCTACCTCACTCAGTCACTGTCCTCAGATTCAGAATTTAGTTCATTTTGTTTGACGGAGAAGTGTAGCCTTTGTTGCAGCTACTGCACTTTTGTTGGATGTTAAAGTAGCTAAGTCTCTAAACTCAATATCATCCAAAGTCTTTGACATTGAAAACATGAATTATTTGTCAATTTGAATCAACATTGGTTGTGATCTCACCGGGAAAAGATGGGCTTCTTATATCCAATATTTAAGACAAAATAAACTTTATAACATTGGTACCCTAATTGTGTTTCATAATATGTTTCAGCGCTATTTATAACAAGTAAACAAGGGACTTGAAGAACGAGGCTAGATATATTCCAAAAGTCATGTCAAGTGACGGCATATTCTTATAATGAAGAGCATGCGTAATAAATATATTATGTAGACTGGAATAACCAGGTGCTGGCGTATTTTGCTGAACGTAACCGATTTGAAATTCGAGTAAAAACGGAAACTGGATGGGATGGAAAAACACGGTCCCAAGCCTGGAAATAACGGTTTTAGATGCACCTGACAAAATGTCAGGCACTGATGAAATAGTACCTGACATTTTTAACTTATTGCCGGACATGTATTAATAATATCAATAAAAAAGACAAATCAGTGCCGGACAAAATGACAGGCACCAGATGTTTACTGCCTGACAAAGCCTGAATCTCTGTCTGACATTGTCTTTGACCGGTGCCTTATTTCCAGGCTTAATGGTTCCATGTACATATTGGTGTGCACATAAAAAGAAAACCCAATCTTGACAGTTGGAATTCTAAATACAAGTATTCCATAGTGTACAGGTACTAATGTTTGGGAAAAATTTCTTCATAGCACACTGTATTGGGCAATGCTAAATGTAGGCCGATTGGTTAGGTTCGGGTGTTTCCCCGAGTCTAAATGGCCGGTTTATATAAATGAGAACTTTTGGGGAATACTAACCCTAACCCTTTTAGAAAATTGAATTTGGGCCTAATTTACCTTTTACCCTACTGAAAAGGGTTAGGGTAGTATTCCCCAAAATACTCATTTAAAAACGTCCATTTTGACTCCCGAAATACCTGAACTTCCTCAAATGGCCTACAATTAGCATCTCCCCACTGTATTAACTCAGTCGTTGCAGAAAAGTAATAGTTGTTTACTAGGGTTTTATGTTCACTTGTACCGTGAGTGAATTTCATTCTGATTTGAAATCAACATAGTCAGTGCTCATTTAGTTTTCAGGGGGGGGGGTGGACGGTCGAATTGTTAGCACCTGTGCGCTGTCTCATAAGGCCTGTCATTGAGTCAACTGGCATGGTCTTGAATCCCTGGATGTACGTGACAGAAGTGAGTAGGGTCACATGTCCAACCGCATGGGTTTTCTCCGGGTCCTCCGGTTTCCTCTCACTGCTAAAGACACCTATGCGCAAGCAAATTATTGAAATACAATTGAACCACGTGTTAGTCCCGAAATGACGTAGTTTGTGTCGAGTGGACGTTAAACCCCATTTCTTTCTCTCTCTTTTAGTTTTCAAGCACCTGTTTTATGGAATAATCTAGTTATGTAGATTTCATTTCCACTCATGGTGACCCTTGGTTCGAGCTCTGCTACATATTTCATGCAAATGTTTTTATTAAATTTCAGATTCGAAGACCAACTGTATATATTTCCACTAAGGACCATCCATCAGAACAAGGTAGATTTAATAAATATGTAAATCTGTTCGGGGTGTGTAACACATGCCCCTTTTGGGGTGCGAGTTTGAGGGTTTTAACAAGTGGGCTAAAGATCATGAGATGTGTCATTATTTAGTCAGGAGGCATTTATTCTATTCAAGCTTGTACGTGACCGGAAGTAGGGTCAAGGGCCCAACCTCGAGGGTCTGACAAGCACAGCTGTCTGGTCATTCGGAAGGAACGAAAAACAGAGGCCCTGTGTATACATTGGCATGCACGTAAAAAATCCCATAGCAGTTGGATTCTATATAAGAGTAGGCCGTTGTGCCACTGTCCGGGCCGAATTTCCCTAATAGTACACTGCATGGCATATGCCTGTCTTCATTAGCCCAGGGACATTAAACCTCATTTCATTTCATTTCCCAACCTTGTGGGTTTTCTCCACTAGTTCATTCTCTTGAGGGTGGGGGGTTGAGTTGTCTAATACTTGAGCTTTTCGATCATAAGATCTAAAATTGAGTCAAGTGGCGCAGATTCTATTGAAAGCTGATTTGTGTCAATGATTAGGTTCACCTGCCCAACCTCTAGTGGATTGTCTCATGATACCTCCCACAACTAAAAGACAGGCACAAGCTCATGATCTAGTGTGTTTCACTGTTAATAAGGCCAAACAGATTGAATTTTTAGTTGGGGGGGTTGGATGTCGGAATGGTTAGCACATGCGCTGTATCGTAAGGTCTGTCATTGAGTCAACTGGTGTGGTTTCGATTCCCTGGTTGTACGTGACAAGGAGTAGGGTCGCCTGTCCAATTTCGTGGGTTTTCGCCGGTTTCCTCCCACTGCTAAAGACCCCTACCCGCAAACGAATTATTGAAATAAAATAAAATGTATGGTAGTCCCGAAATGACCTAGTTTGTGTTGAGTGGATGTTAAACCCCATTTCTCTCTTTATCTCTCTCTCTCTCTCTATCTCTCTCTCCCTCTCTCTCTCTCTCTCTCTCTCTCCCTCTCTCTCTACAGAAAATATATGTTTTATAATTTCAGTTATAACTACAGAAAAAACCAATATTTTATTACGATATTTACATCAACAGTGGGATAAAAAGGTAGATTTGTTATTAAATCTTTGTTATGCATCTACTGTAGCAATGATCTTTGTGTTAATATTATGTTTGGAATATGTTTAATCCAATCTATCACATTGGTGATCTCTGCTTTGGCCGAGAAAATTCATGTGGATTTTCTGACATGGTTTCTCCTTGTCAGTTGTGCAGGATGGAAGGTCTGACAAGGACAGCTGACTAGTCGTTCGAATGGGATGGAAAACGGAGGTCCCGTGTATACATTGGCGTGCACATAAAAGATCCCTTGGCAGTTGAAATTCGATTGAAGAGTAGGCCATAGTACCGCTGCCCGGGCAAATTTTCCCTCATAGAACACTGTATGGCGTATGCCCGTCTTCATTAGCCCAGTCGGAGCAGAACAGTTGGACGTTAAACCCCATTTCATATCCTTTCCAACATTGTCCTTTAAGAAGGCCGATTTATGTATGTAGGCCCTATTTCAATTTAATTTCTACTCGAGTTGTTTCAGTAGAACTGAAACCGCAGTGGCGTAGTGGAGGTTCGGTGTTCGATCCCTACGATGGCCAAGAAAATACATGTGGATTTTCAGGCGTGGTTCCCTCTTGTCATTGGTGCGGTACAGAGGTTCTGGCATGCACGTAAAAGATCCCTTAGCAGGTGGATTTCGATATAAGAGTAGGTCAGGAAAAATTTCACAGTTTATGGCGTATGCCTGTCTTTATAAGCCCGGTCAGAGCAGAACTGTAGGACGTTAAACCCCATTAATAGAACTCTTAAAACAGACTTCGGGGGGGGGGGGGGCGAATGGTGTTTCGATTCCCCGGTTGTACTTGACAAGGGGTAGGGTCGCCTGCTGTCCAACCTCATGGGTTCTGGGTCCTCCAATTTTCTCCTATTGCTAAAGACCCCTACATGCAAGCGAATTATTGAAATAAAATTGTGTCGAGTGGAAGTTAAACCCTGATTTCTCTCTCTCTAAGATGAATTTCAAATTTATATTTGTTGGTTTTTTTTTGTAGAATACCAGTAAGAAACGAGATTCAACTAGAGCTAGTTTAGAAACGGAAGAAAATGACTCACCTAGTAAAGTTCCACGCTTGACCTCAACTGATGATAACTCTTAAAATGTATAAACAATTAAAAACGGACAATTTAATGTAAATAACAGATTTATTCCAAGATTTTGGGAATGGAAATGGAGATGCAATGCCGATTGTTTTCCGTAGAATGTAAGGAATTTCTCTATAGAGGAAGGCTGTGTCAATGAATTGTGTTCGCGACATACCATATATGATATTAAGATGTTTGTCCTTTTCACGGATATGCTGGATGACGTTTTTTTTTTTATAGGCTTGTATGCTATCTCTGGTTTATGCATTTTTATTATTATTAATTATTATTTAGCATTGTTAAATAATTCAAAGAAGGACAAGCGGACAGATCATAAAATCTTATTTCTGGGTAGTCTCTTATGTCAAGCCGTAATCGTGTCCCTCGCAGTAGCAATATCGTTATCAATAATAAATTATTACCACATACATCTTCCACATGTTCTTAAACTCAGAAATCTTCAGTTCTTAAATTAGTTGACTATAAAATAACGTCATATTTAACTGCGTTATCAAGGGATAAAAACATTTTATCCTAAACTATTAGTATTTCTAAATTATTACCACTTACAGCTTCCACAGAAATCTCCAGTTCTTTAATTAGTTGACTATAAAATAATGTCATATTTAACTGTGTTATTGAGGGGTAAAAAACGTTTTATCTTAAACTATTAGTATTTCTAAACTAATTACACTGTAACACAGGTATCATTTAATCTTGTGTATTTAGCACTAATTTCTTTCACATTCATTCAATATCAAATCTTTGATAACGTAAGTAGGTTTAAGAGTTGAAAATATCCCCTTTTTCTCGTCTTTAAAAAAAAATCTGTTGTAAGTATTTTGTTTATTATTTTAAGAAGAGTTTCTGTTGTTTTATTTCCATCAATGCTGAAACGATACGCCATGCCATGATATGATACAGTATCATATTCTAGCCCAACGATACACTATTTTCATACATGCTATAGTTCTAGGGCTGAAACGTAAAGCCATGATATGATATGATACAGTATCATGTCCTAGCCCAACGTTACGGGTGCATCACAATACACGCTTTATCCTTTTATGGAAAAAAAATCTGTGAATCGTTTCGGCCCTATATAGTACTGTTTCTTTTAGAGATCCAATTTTCACAATATTGTTTGTAAGGAATTCAAAAAAGCTTTAAGTGACTACCAGATATTTAAAGTAATTTATTTTGGACCAAAAACGACTGATTAAGATCCTTGCCGGGCGACAAGTTCACAAAGCATTCTAAAACATAAGTTAAGGAGTCACTCAAAATCGTTTGACTAAAATATAGCCCTTTATAAAATTTTTGTTGTTTTAATGTATTAAATACATCAATAAGAAACTATGTGTAAAGTTTTGTGTTTCTGGATTAAAGATATTTCTCATACATAGAGATAGAAAGTTGAGGAAATGCTTCGTGAACTCGGGATCACGTATATATGATGAATTAAAGAAGGAAACAATTAAGATGTAAGGTTTCATAAGAACATTAGGTTTTTTTTTAATTTGTCATTATCTTGTAGTCGACTCGGACTTCCGCATCCTGCCAGGCCATTAAAAAGTGTCATGAAATTGTTCCAAAAAAAAGAACTATTTTAATGTGGTTCATATTGTTGTTTATTTTGTAGATATTTTAGACAAAAGAACAAAATATTTAATTCTGTGTAATTTTATATTAGGTATTTTCTTTTCTTAAACATACATTATGCAAGAGCTAAATCTGCCTAGATAAAGAGCTGACAGTTCTTAATATAATAGTTAAAAAATAGATAATGAAAACAAAATATGCTGAAAATTGCTGTCAAATTGCTTCACTTTGAATTGAGATATTAGCGATTCAATTTTAGGTTAGCCTCGATCGTCAGTACTTATGTTGATAAGATAATAAACAAAGTCTTGATTGTCCATTTTTACGTTAAATTATCCCTCACAAATGTATTCAAATCCACTAAATATCGAGTTTATTATGGTGTGGATAAGTTAATTAATGTCTAATGAATAATTTAGATGGCATTTCAGGCCTAAAGAAAGACCTGCAATAGACAGATTTAGCTCTTGAATAATGTATGTGTAAGATATATGTTTACTGTTTTAGCTGCACGAGATGCCTGAACATATAATAATAATAATTTATATGAAATCTAATTTACACGATAACATATATTGCAGTATAGAAACAATTTATGAAATTTTCTTTGATTGACATTTAGTAATTGAACATATTAACACAAGGAACAATTTCATGGATACACAATTACTGAGTTTAATACTAAGCGACGTTTTGACAAGGATACTCTTATCAAGGTGGATAAAGACATGTGTATCCTCGTCGAAACGTCGCTTAGTATTAAACTCAGTAATTGTGTATCCATGAAATTGTACCCTGTGTTAATTTATGAAATCTTCCATCTCTAATTATTCTAGTTTCTGAAGTAAATTCATAGGTCATAGATTATATATTCTTGGATGTACATGTATATAATGTATCTATTGTAAATGTTCTTTTATCGGCATTAATAATGTATGTTGTAGAGTCTATTGTCAGGTCTCTTTTGGGGAGTCGGAAATTCACAAACTTATCCGTGGATCATCAGATGTCAGAATCAATCTGATTACAACACAGATCCTATTTCGTTTTGTTTTTATAGTTCAAAATTTCGTATTACTTGTCTTTACTACACTAGGATCTGGAAGAGTTGTTATATAACCTGCGTTCTGGATGATGTGAGGTATTAGCCAATGAAACAGTCTGTTAGGGCAAGTTTTTGGTGTGAGGTGCACGGAACTGTGGGTAACCCATTAGAAACATTTTGATCAAATGTCTGACATTATAGGGTAAAAAGCCTGACACAACCTTCCACTACAACTGGTCAGATCTTCATGTACTGTAGGCCATCGAAAGTATAAAAAAACGAAACGAAATATAGATCTGTATTGTAATCAGATTAATGTCAGTATGCAATGTTTATGTTTAACATGTGGATGAAATGAAATGGAGGTTTTAACATTCTAGTTCTCTGTTCCTACTGGACTAATAAAGATGGACATACGCCATGCAGTGTGCTATGAGGGATTCCAAGTCAAGTCCAGTGTACACTTTGACATGCACGTAAAAGATCCCTTGACAGTTGGAATTCAATTGCTGTCTATGCAAAATTTTCCTCCTAGCACACTGTATGGCGTATGCCCGTCTTCATTAGTCGGGTAGAAGCAGAACAGTAGGACGTTAAACCTCATTTCATTCATTCATTAGGATTCTTTTGTGATACATGCTTTTGGTCGTGTCCTTGGCTATTACATTATCAGAATTCCCAATAGAAGAGTTTTCTATATGCAAATGACCTCCCCTACTGTCCTGACAATAGACTCACCCAGTTTATTTATCCAGAGCCTTACAATAGACTCACCCAGTTTATTTATCCAATGACTGACAATAGACTCACCCAGTGTATTTATCCAGAGCTTTTCAATAGACTCGCCCAGTTTATTTATCCAGGGCCTTATTCCCGACAACTTCAACTGAAATATATTAAGGGTACAGACTTTTCATTGGTTGATAGTTAAAATCCTAATACAAATTTTAGATCTAGGCCAATGAAAGAGCTGCTTTCTTAAGATATTTTAGATCTAGGCCAATGAAAGTGCTACGTTCTTAAGATATTTGAGGTTAAATTGTTGTGAATAAGGCCACTGGTCATTATTTGTGTAGACAGTTCAATGATAGAAGTCTTAAGATAATATAAGTGTTTATTAATGGGGATGCACGATTGAAATCTTCCAGAATTGAACTTCTCTCAATGCCTAGAAGGATGGCAATCAATTAAAAGTGAGAATTTCTGGCGACAAAGCATTCATGAACTTAATATGATGTCGTCTCGAACAATAACCAAAGGTAAAACATTTGATTTACGCTACAATTCTGTTTTCGGGACTGACAGAACTATCTCAATTACGAGATTGCTATTCCGTCACTTTCTGGACTGACGATGGAGCACCCCTCAACATTAAAGATAAAGTAAGAAAGAGAAGTGATTACGTTACAGTTCTGCTCACACCAACTCTGTTTTCGCGACTGACAGAACTGTGGATGAGTGTCAATTACGAGATTGCTATTCTGTTGATTTGTAATGTTCTGGACTGACGATCGTGCACCCCCAACATGAAAGATAAAATAAGTGAGAGAAGTGCTAATGTTTAAATATATAGTTGTATATATTGTAAATACGCGTGGAAGAAAACCATTGATTAATTACATTTGATATCTTTATGCAAGAACCAATTCTTGACTGACCCATTCCATTCATGTAATCCATGTAAGAAGGAAGGGGGGGCCGGGGAGTGGGGCGGGGAGTATGGTCTGAGATGTGCACTTCAGATCATAAGGTCTGTCATTGAGTCAACTGGCGTGGTTTCGATTTCCAGCTTGTACATAATAAGGAGTAGGGTCACCTGTCCAATCTCATGGGTTTTCTTCCGGATCCTCAGTTTTCCAATTCTTGACCGATTCATGTGACCCGTTCGATTACCCAGATTTGAGCTTCCCGTCGAATAATTTGGCTAAATTAAACGATTGGTTGAAATTTGAAAATGGATATGATAAATTACAGATGAGTCTACTCGGTGATTCAATAGAATAATGAGTTTTCCTTAGGTTTCCTTCCACTGCTGAAGACCCCTACCTGCCAACAAATTATTAAAATAAAATTGAACCATTAAACCCCAATGATCGATCAACATCCTTTAACAATGTGAGTTAGTTATGACCAGGGTTAGGGTTAGGGTCATCAACCTTTAATAATGTGGGTAAGCTATGACCAGGGTTAGGGTTAGGGTTAGGGTCATCAAGAGTTGAGTTTATTGTAAATGAAGATAATTGTGAGTGTAAATACATGCTATCTTAATGTAATGATAAATAAAGTCATTTTATCAGCCAGTTTCTTATTATTATATGTCTAGTTGTTTGGTATGGTAAACCGAGGTCCTATGTATCGAGGACCTGACAAGGACAGCTGTCTAGTTGTTCGGATGGGATGGTAAACCGAGGTCCTATGTATCGAGGACCTGACAAGGACAGCTGTCTAGTTGTTCGGATGGGATGGTAAACCGAGGTCCTATGTATCGAGGACCTGACAAGGACAGCTGTCTAGTTGTTCGGATGGGATGGTAAACCGAGGTCCTATGTATCGAGGACCTGACAAGGACAGCTGTCTAGTTGTTCGGAAAACTGAGAACCTGTGTATATATTGGCATGCACATAAAAGATCGATATAAGAGTAGGCCATAGTGCCGCGGCCTGGGCAAAATTTCCCCCATAGCACACTGTATGGCGTATGCCCGTCTTCATTAACCCAGTCAGAGCAGAACAGAAGGATGTTAAACCCAATTTCATTTGATTTCATTTCTTATTATATGTAGCTGAGAAAGTTGCTCTGAATTCTCTAGTGTGGTTTCCACCATTGCGAAGGGCGGATGGAACATAAAACTGAGGTCACATGTACGCATTGACAGTTGGAATTGATTATGTGAGAAGTCAGTAGTGCCACATTCTGGGTAAAATATCCCTCATAGTACACTGTATAGCGTATGTCTGTCTTCATTAGCCAAGGAGGGTGGGTGTGTGGTCGAATGGTTAACGTGTACACGCTTTATAAGGTCTGTCCTTGAGTCAACTAGTGGGGTTTCGATTCCCTGGATGTACGTGATAAGGAGTAGGGTCGCCTGTCCAAATTTGTGTCTTTTCTCTGGATCCACCGGTTTCCAACGCACAAGCGAATTATGGAAATAAAATTAAACCAAATGATAGTCTCAAAATGACCTAGTTTGTGTCGAGTGGATGTTGAACCCCATCTCTCTCTCCCCCTCGCTCTCTCTCTCCCTCTCTCTCTCTCCCCCCTCTCTCTCTCCCTCCCTCTCTCTCTCTCTCCCTCTCTCTCCCCCCTCTCTCTCTCCCTCTCTCTCCCTCTCCCCCTCTCTCTCTCCCCCCTCTCTCTCTCAGCCATTGCCATTTGGAATTCAAAATAAAAGTAGGCCATCGTGTCATCCAGGCAAAATTTCATGTCATATGCCTGTGTTCATTAACCCAGTCAGTTGAGAAACGTGAGTCATTAAATCTCATTTCATTTATTATGTACAGTATTTGTTTTTATGTCTGCTTGTCCAGCAATCTGATTAAAACACAGATCCTATTTCGTTTTGTTTTTCTAGTTCAAAATTTTGTTTTACTTGTCTTTAATACACTAGAATCTGGAAGAGTTGTTATCATTGACGTGTTTGGAATGGTGTGAGGGATTAGACAATGAAATGGTCTGTTAAGTCGAGCTTTAGGCGTGGTTTGCACGGAACTGTGGGTAATCCACTAGTAACATCAATGGTGATTGGTTAATCAAATGTCTGACATGAGAGGGTCAAAAGCTGCTCGTATGACTTCTGACCCGACCTATCGCTACAACCGATCAGATCTTCATGTAGTGTAGGCCATCGAAAGTATAAAAAAACGAAACGAAATATAGATCTGTATTTTAATCAGATTGGCTTGTCCGGTCAATTGTTTTGTCCGCCATGTTTACTACATAGGTTGGGATATCAGAAGATATAATTGTGTAAATTGAGCCGTGTTTGGAACGGGAATTGACTTCATTTACGTTGACAGAGAAGAAATTTCTAGGCACTGTCTTGGTGAAATTGTGTTAATGCACGTATGGAATGGAAGTTAGATACAGGCCCTTAAATTTATACGATGATTTGCTGTTGTAAACAAATGACAATAGCCGTGGTCTGATCCCTGCAAAAACCAAACAAGAGTTGTGTCCCTTTCCTGGTGTTTGCCGAGCGACCATGAAATTCCGATTTCGAAACAAAAAGGATGTAATATTTAACAAATATTTCCTAGTTTTATTAAAAATACATACAATACATTAGATTTATATACAAAGGTGATTTCACTGTTTTTTGGTGTTGGTGGCGCTGATGGTCTTCCTTGGATGGTGCTTCTGGTATTCTGGTATTTTTGTTTCTGAAGAAAAAAGAATAAATTTGAGGTTCTCGGGGGAGAGCCACATTAGTGTGTTTCCTACTACGAATAAGATTTTCTAAAAATGTGTTTGTTCCACTGTCACCGGGTTAGGGCTAGGGATTCTTATATCTAGTTGATTTTATTTACTAACGGTTAGGGACAGTGCCGGACTGGTGTGCCGAAGGCCCACCTGTCAGGTCATTGACCAAGGCCAACACAATACAAGTATCCTGTCCTCTCCTTCCTTCTTTCTTTTTTGTCCTCCCCCTCTCCTTTCTTCTCTTTTCTTTTTTCTTTTTTTCTTTTTTCTTTATGGGCTTAGGCCCACTTTGTTTTTAATGAACTTAGGCTCACCTGTCCGTGACAGGTGGACAGGTGGGCCCAGTCCGGCACTGGTTAGGGATAGGATTTGATATATGGTTTGTTTTGGGTTAGGGTGGAGACTGGTCTTATTTAATCTAATTTACTGTGCACTAGGATACGTTTCTGTGTGAAGATTTTCGGGTGATTTTCTTGGAGATCAGTATAGTGTTTTCTGATGATTTTGGTATTTTGGATGCAATTCATGTGCAAATCAAAGTGATTAACCCCGTGAGGAATGTCTCCCCGGCGACCAAGCTGTAAATTAGACGTGTCGACCGTTCACTACAACGTCCTGACGCCATCCGGCGCCTGCTTTTACAATTACTTGTCTCTCCCTCCCCCAACCCCACCCCACCCCACGGCAGAATGTTACTAATCCACGGAGTAAATTAACGAAAAGGTTTCTGAAAGCTGTGAAGAGGCGGTCCGATGCCTAAACATGGCGGAAAATGTGATAAATGAGATTGACAGACAAAATGCATGTCGGTGATTAGAAAGATACGCACACAATGTCATGTAGACCTATTATGTAGTCGTCCCCGTCCGTCCGTGTCTCTGTCCGTGCGTTCATTCGTTAACCTTTGTGGACCCTCTTCGGGTCATATTTTTTACCCGACGTTGACGAAAGATAAAATATATGTTATCCACGCCCGGAAACATTGTGAACGCGATAGGGGCTATTTATTTCCGACTATTTCGCGCCCCTAAATGGAGCCTGAGCAGGGGTTGGGAGTTGGAAGACAATTATTGTTTATTGCTGAACAACTTTAGGATTCTTAGTATTACCATACATGTAATTTGAAATAAAATTAAACCATACGTTAGTCCCAAAAGTGACTCACTTAGCCACCGTGGCTCCCCTACACAGCCACTCACGGATATTGTTGATAAAATTAAATAAATTAATTAAATTAAATAAATCCGTGTTTTAACATAAAAAACCCATACTGTACAGCAAAGATTAAACAACACCAATGTGTCAATCCGGGTTGGGGGGGGGGGGGGGAAGATAAAACTCACTATGATGGACAGGTGACACTACTCAATGTTACGCACACTGATCGGTAATGAATATTCGCAAGGCCGTTAAGATCACCGAAAGGGGTGGCATCGGTACGGGTTAATAAGCTCGCAATGTTAACATGAAATATGAATGTAAGAATATTGAAGTAACAAGTTACCTATACAAGTAACCATATCGGTAAAATGTTTCACACATTCTGATTAAAATACAGATCTATATTTCTGACCGGTTGTAGTGGAAGGTCGCTTCAGAGGTCAACGAGTGGCTTTTGGCCCTATGACATCAGACATTTGATTAATCAATCAGCGTTGACGTTTCTAGTGGTTTACCCACAATTCAGTGGATCAAAAGGCCAAGAACTCGCCGTAACAGACCGTTTCTTTGGCAAATCCCTCACTTCAGCCAGAACGCCGGTAATATATTCACTTTTCCAGATCATAGTGTAGTAAAGACAATTAAAAGGAAATTTTGAACTATAAATCAGATTGTATATCACACTATGTAAGTTATGAACTATGTGACGAATTAAACTAGGTTTCTCTCAGTTCGTTCAGTTCATATAGGATTTATTAAGTGGTTTACCTTCAGAAAATACTTGTTTTGCGTCACCATCCGTATGACTTTGTAATTATCAATTTAACAAACCCGTAAAAAGGATTCATACACTTCGAACTCGTGAAAGTGTAGTTCACAGTTAAGGACAAACAATTTTAGTGGTAGTGTCGAGTGGACGTTAAACTCCATTTCTCTCTCACACTCTCTCTGGTGAGCTATGTTTTGTTTCAAGTTTCAAGATTTAGAAATTTTTGAACTAAAGACTATCCTTGTAAATAATGAACGGATTCTCGCCATTTTGAGCTGATAATTCATTTAGAGATTCAACTTTAACAACATAGTATTATTCAAGGGATTCATGTAGGGTCCAGACGAAGGATCTGGCAAGGATAGCGGTGTAATCATTCGGATGGGACGAAAAACCGAGGTCCCGTGTACACATTGGCGTGCACATAATAGATCCCTTGGCAATAGGAATTCGATATAAGAGAAGCACACTGTATGGCGTATGTCCGTCTTCATTAGTCCAGTTGGAGCAGAACAGTAGGACGTTAAACCCAATTTCATTTCATTTTTGATGGATCCTTTATAGCGTTCCATTCATGGACAGAGACTTTGAATATTGGTTTTAAGTTGACAACATGTTAGACAGTAGAGAGGTCAATATATGTCAAATAGGGGGGAGGGGCGAATGGTTAGCGCGTGTGCGTTGTATCATAAGGTCTGTCATTGAGTCAACTGGCGTGGTTTCGATTCCCCTGTTGTACGTGACAAGACGTAGGACCAACCTCGTGGGTTTTCACCGGGTCGTCCGGTGTCCTCCCAATGCTAAAAACCCCTACGCGCGCAAGCGAATTATTGAAATAAAATTGAACCATATGTTAGTCCCGAAATGACCTAGTTTGTGTCGAGTGGACGTTACCCCCCCCCCCCCCCCCTCCCTGCCAAACTAGACCAATTGAAGTTTGGTTCATTTTGA